TATGAGTATCGTGCAGTTGATGTTTATATGTATATATTTGCTCAGTGTAACTGTCAGACGTATTCCGTTTCCTAACAGGACAACCCGATGACAAGAAGGGTCAAGACTGTGTAGAAGTCAACCAGAGCAAGAAGCTTTCTGATCAAAACTGTGAAACAAAAAGACGCGCATACATTTGTCAGTCACCAGTGAAAGGTAATTTGTACATCAGTAAAAGACTATACCTGGGAATATTTAATAACGCAGACTGCACATATGACATGGCCAAAAAGAAGTTGATTATAAGTTCTCCAGTGATCACTTTTTTTTTTTTAAATGGTTAAAGTAAAACCGGATATTTTATTATTAATTTAATTTAGATGACGAAACACAAGGCTGTATTTATCGTGAGAGCCCTTTAATGTTCGCTCTTTTGTGAAGCAGAAAAATACCATGTAGTGCGTAATCATACTTTAGTGATGTCTTTATGTACGATAGAGTTACATAATGTACGATAGAGTTACATAATGTACGGTAGAGTTACATTATGTATGTACGATAGAGTTACATAATGTATGATAGAGTTACATAATGTACGATAGAGTAACATTATGTACGATAGAGTTACATAATGTACGATAGAGTTACATTATGTACGATAAAGTTACATTATGTACGATAGAGTTACATTATGTACGATAAAGTTACATTATGTATGATAGAGTTACATAATGTACGATAGAGTTACATAATGTACGAAGAGTTACATTATGTATGATAGAGTTACATTATGTACGATAGAGTTACATAATGTACGATAGAGTTATATAATGTATATACGATAGAGTTACATAATGTATGATAGAGTTATATAATGTACCATAGAGTTACATAATGTATGATAGAGTTACATTATGTACGAGAGAGAAACATGATGTATGATAGAGTTACATAATGTACGATAGAGTTACATTATGTATGATAAAGTTACATTATGTACGATAGAGTTACATAATGTACGATAGAGTTATAAATGTATGTACGATAGAGTTACATAATGTATGACAGAGTTACATAATGTACGATAGAGTTACATAATGTACGATAGAGTTATAAATGTATGTACGACAGAGTTACATAATGTACGATAGAGTTACATAATGTATGATAGAGTTACATAATGTGTGATAGAGTTACATAATGTACGATAGAGTTACATAATGTATGATAGAGTTACATAATGTACGATAGAGTTACATAATGTACGATAGAGTTATATAATGTACGATAGAGTTACACAATGTACGATAGAGTTACATAATGTACGATAGAGTTACATTATGTACGATAGAGTTTCATTATGTACGATAGAGTAACATGATGTATGATAGAGTTACATTATGTACGATAGAATTACATAATGTACGATAGAGTTACATTGTGTACGATAGAAATTCACAATGTACGATCTTAACTACATATGTTTTACGGATACACCGAAATCTTGAAAGTAAACACTAGCTCAAATTAAGACTGTCGGATATTAGCGTCTATTTCTAGTGTTGTACCTGAACAATAATGATAATAATCTGTTATAACTGACGGCATAAGAATTCTGTATTTCATTTAAAACATCAGAAGAAATAATAAATATAAATTCGTAAGGTCGATCGCCAAAATTTACAAAACATGCATCAATACCACCACTTTATTATGCATCGACGCCATTCTAGCAGTAAATATAGGTTTTGCATGAAACGAATAATATATCAATAGATTGTCTAAGACCTATACGATTAACTTTTCTCCGTTTGAGAAAAATGGATGATATCACTTCACTACAAGGTGAGACTGTCAGTATTGGGGATCGGAGTTTAACTCATTCACCATTCACGACCTACATGTAGTCACGTTCAAAGCTACACATTCCCACACAGGGATATTGTTGTAAACCTTTGGAACGTGCCACCAATTAAAAGTTTCTTATTTTCATATTTTACAGTCCCGACTCAATGCACGGATACGCGTGACGACTGTGCCTCCATTTTGAATGACGTCCCCAACATGTGCAGCGAACATAAAGTCTTCGCTGACGTCGCCTGTCGTCGGACCTGTGGGATATGTACCGCTCCTAGTGAGCCATGTTCCACCAAGTAACACTGTTTCCTGTTATCCTGCACCTACATTGTATATAGCCATGTTCCACCAAGTGACGCTGTTTCCAGTTAGCCTGCACCTACATTGTATATAGCCATGTTCCACCAAGTAACACTGTTTACAGTTATCCTGCACCTACATTGTATATAATCGTGTTCCACCAAGTAACACTGTTTCCAGTTATCCTGCATCTATATAGTCGTGTTCCACCAAGTAACACTGTTTCCTGTTATCCTGCACCTATATAGTCGTGTTCCACCAAGTAACACTGTTTCCAGTTATCCTGCACCTATATAGTCGTGTTCCACCAAGTAACACTGTTTCCAGTTATCCTGCACCTATATAGTCGTGTTCCACCAAGTAACACTGTTTCCAGTTAGCCTGCGCCTATATAGTCGTGTTCCACCAAGTAACACTGTTTCCAGTTATCCTGCATCTATATAGTCGTGTTCCACCAAGTAACACTGTTTCCAGTTAGTCTGCACCTATATAGCCATGTTCCACCAAGTAACACTGTTTCCACTTATCCTGCACCTATATAGCCATGTTCCACCAAGTAACACTGTCTCCTGTTAGCCTGCGCCTATATAGTCGTGTTCCACCAAGTAACACTGTTTCCAGATAGCCTGCACATATATAGTCGTGTTCCACCAAGAAACACTGTTTCCAGTTATCCTGTACCTATATAATCGTGTTCCACCAAGTAACACTGTTTCCAGTTATTCTGCACCTACATTGTATATAATCGTGTTCCACCAAGTAACACTGTTTCCAGATAGCCTGCACCTATATAGTCGTGTTCCACCAAGTAACACTGTTTCCAGTTATCACATCCTCTTCAGCCGATTTTTTGCTTTGTGTAAATTCTTAAAAAAATATTCTAATTCTTTTTTGTTTAACTTGTGTACATCAACTAGGCCGCATGTCATTACTTTGAATAGAGAAAGTCCGTAATTTATGTTGTTGACAATGTGCATTACGTGTAATTGTGTATGAATTTTGCGTTTATCATTTCCATTCAGTGATAAAAACTTAGATTTCAAACGCTTTTTAAAAGAATGCGTAGCAGGTATATTTGTTTGTATTCAGTAAAAAATGATAGTTTTGTCTTTATTTTTCATTATTTCTAAGTGTTTCTTCAGAGGATCATCATTCCGATTAAAGGACATACAATCAGATGTACGTGTATTTCATTGTCTGTTTTGATATTAAAGGCTATACATTTAGCGTTGTTCATGCTTTACAACTCCAGTGAAATCAAATTTGCTGGTTATTTTTCTGACTTAGCATAGTTTTACCGGAGAGAAAAAGAAATAACAATGCTTTGTGATGTTACACTTACGTGTATATTAATTTAATTTTGAAGTCGTTTCTTGTTCCTTGTTCAGGAGTGTAAATTAGTAAAATAGAACAAAATACACTACGATTTCAAGTTCATCAATAAACGTGAGTATTAGATATTTGATTGGTACATGTATCTAGGGTCCCTGTTTGATTGGTACATATATCTAGGGGCTCTGTTTGATTGGTACATATATCTAGTGGCTCTGTTTGATTGGTACATATATCTAGAGTCCCTGTTTGATTGGTACATATATCTAGGGTCCCTGTTTGATTGGTACATATATCCAGGGTCCCTGTTTGATGCGTACATGTATCTAGGGTCCCTGTTTGATTGGTACATATATCTAGGGTCCCTGTTAGACATCAGTGTCTTAATGGGTCCTAATATGTGTCTAAATTGAAAAGGTAACAAAAGAACGTATGTGTGTAAACTCCAAAGACCCGAGCTGCAAATAACCATATACCAGAATAAAGGAACAAAGGTGCAACTCTCAGTACACGATAAGAGTTGCTACCAATAAAAAAAAGACTGTAAGGAACTTGGGTAAATTCTTCCCTAGTTCTATATCTATTGAAATGCTCCATATGTATCAGTCATTGTCATGTACTAAGTATTTCTAGATCAGAAACACTTGTTGCATCCGTCACTTTCTGACCAACAACGCCTGTTTGGCATTAAATTGGTAAGGCGTTATGTAACACCCACCTAACAACTGGTGCAACCAGGTTAAACTTGACGGTGCAGATTCCAATCGAACCCTGCATAATTTGGCAACCTTTAAACAGGAAATATACAATCATGCCTTACTATAAATTTGTCTAGGTAAATTTAACCTATGATATCCAAAAGGAAATATTAATTCCGATAATGGGCAATTTAGGAAGACATGTGATGATAAATATTGAAATTTTATAGCACTCACATATAAGCTCAAATTTATTCTTTTATCGTATCTTCAATAAGATTCATCAGTTTGGAAATATGTGATATCAAATTTTTATTTTCTACACAAACAAGTTACGTATTAAACGTGTCTCAACGTTCAAATCTACGATAGCTTGACAAAGGGACCAGTCGGTCTTGAAACGTTGCGACACGTTTAATACGTAACTTGTTGTGTAGAAAGTAAAACTATGATACTATTCTTTTATTGTCGAGTTAAAACGAAAGTTGATTAAACCATATATTTTTGTATAGATAGATTCAAGCATGCTATATACGTTGAGTTAGGTGGGAAAATTTTACCAGCAGACTGTTAGCACTCAAATGTGTATAAACCGTGCCCTTTTCCTGGCCGATTTCTTTCTATTTTCTTGAGAGGCTGCAATGATTGACCATCCTATTAGGACTGGTAACAAAAATGTTGCAAAATGTTAAAATTCAACTTAAGATATATCGACCATGTGGTATATGTGTCTATATATAAACAACGAAATACAGTGACCATATCGATTGTATATACCCTATTAAATTTCAAATTCAGGATACCACAGTCTCACCAAAATAGGTCATACTTAAAACAGGATCAAGAGGGACGACTTACGATAATATTATCTTGATTGAATACAAACATAAAAATAAAAATCACAATTGTAAAAAGATTTGATTCTCGAGATATGAAGTTTCGTCTTAATTCGTTTGAAGAGACGTTCGGTAACATCTACTCCGGCATAATTAGACTAGGTGCAGATAGCAATGTTAACTCTGAACATTTATGTCGTTATAAAAGCAATTGTTAACATAATTATTCGCTAGAAAAAGCGACGTACAGACCAGTAAAGCACACACAACAAACATAAAGGAACATAACACCCCAGGAGATTGACGTGAATTAATGGCAAGGTCCGTAATCTTTAATGAAAATAACATATTCAGAGTTTATTTACATATGCAAACATGCGTCTAAAAATATAATTTAAGCGAGTATGATTATCTTCGCCGTACGACTATCTTGTACCGTTTTCCTTTCTTCTTCGTCATTCGATTTAGCATCCATTTTATCACATAGTCCGGGACAAAATACATAAATATATCCACCTAGCTCTTCTCCATCCCTACAGTGATCTTTCACATTCCCGACAGGTGGCAGCACAAGATCTCACACCGAATCCTCGGAAGTCAGTGCAAAGTGTAGGAAGACCGTCAAGGAGTTCCGCACAGTCATCTCGCTCATCATGGCACTGAGAAGGAACTGGAAAGCGGAGCACAGACTTAAAAGCCACACACAAGCTAAGAATCATAATGACAAAATAAGGAGAATGTTTTAAAAACAAACCTTAAGTCATCAGTATGAAATCCTTATGGTAATGGTTCATTCAATTTTGCGTCTATATGATCAACATTGGAAACCCATTTCACTGCACTAGTTATAAAACATGTTCACCATACATTTCTATATCTAGTTTTACCATGACTTGCATGCATGTTTGTTATAATGTGACGACATTAACTTCCTGATTGCGGGTTTTCCTTTCTAAAGCAATAACATATCAACCTCACTTTTTTATTTCCATATCAGAGTCTGTACTGAATACAATGCTTTGATGATATATGTGTGTTGTTTAACAGCGGATGGCCTAACAGGAATGTTCTACCCGATAAGCTTTAATAAAGCCGAGTGTATGATAAGGGTTATCATAATGAACTACTTTTTTTAATTATCATATGACTTTTCAACGATGAAGGATATGTTCTGTTATTTTTACATTTTTGATCTTCGACATCCTTTCATAACAGGAGACATCATGCTGTTACGAACCTTTTGAGCAGATGTTCCCTGTTGGTAAAATATTGTGGTACCGATTCATTTTAACACCTGAGAAGCTGGCTGAATTATACAAGAGTCATGTGAGTCTGATTTCAAACTTAAGTAGGATATGTGGTATCTTTGATTTCAAATAACGATAATAAATAAGATGCAAACATAAACAAGATGTTAACATAAATGAGATGTAAACATAAATAAGATGTAAACATAAATAAGATGCACTGTCAGTCATATTGGAATACCGATAATCTGACTTTTGTATTTTCTTTTTCTTAAAAATATATTTTTATAAACACCAGCAAGCAGACAACACCATCTGTATATCTTTTGCTATGTACTATTGATTATTTAACCAAATACGTATCATTTCCATAATATGCTTGTTTTGAGACGCGATTTTTCTGTACAATATGGTGCAGTTATAATCAGAAATGTTTGAGATAAAGGTGAAAGGTCAATGGGCTCCAGTAGTTATACAGAATGTTTGTCAAAATCAATAATTAATTGATGCTCTATAACTACGAAAACATCAAGCATTTCTACATGTATTATAAACTTACAGATGATGGGGGTTTGACAAACATAAGCTTCTTTCGCAGAACATTTCCTCATCACCAAATTTCTACTCTTGTTCATTTTGGCGCAATCTTTTCTTCGTTTGTTCGTCACCTTGCCTGGGGGGAAAATGTGTTAAAACTTTATAGGGGGATTACATTTATTCTACCATCATATCGAAATGATAAGGTTGTCATCCCTCTATTTTAATCAATAAATGATAATGAAAATAGTTCACCTGATAGGAATAGTATATGACGGAATGGTGAAACCTTCATGTGCCATTGTACTATAACGTACGTACATAACTTACCGATTAACAGAGGCTATCAGATATTCCGATTTCTTTCAAATGTGTATTTTAAAAAGTAGTAATGTATCTGTTTGAAGCATATATATGGGACAATACGTACTCAATAAATGGGTACAAATTAACTGACTCATTTTTTAACTGCCAGCAAAATAATCGACATTCTCAATAATGTAGTACCTGATTAACACGACTGGATTAACGCACCTTTATTCCAGTGTAAACCTGATTGTTCGTGGTCCAATGGGGTGCCGTCTGTCCACAATAGTGTGCCCTCTGATCGCTTGTCACCGAGTCCCAACCAGATATCGTGAGGGTTGGTCAGTCTGTTGAGTGTGAAATTAATTTAAGTACAGTCAATAAAAAGATTAAGGGTCAGTTTACTTTATGAAAAATGAACGCAACACACACAAATAATATTGCATCCTGGAAATTTGGTGATAGATACCGTACGCGAAAAAATAAATCATATTTTATCATACAGATGTTTCGTCCTTTTAGGACTCATCAGTGATGCTAGGAGCCAAAAGGTCGGAAATCGGAATTGTCTAAACTTAGAAGCATGAATGTACAATGTTCACTGTTTGTGCTTGTACAGTTCAACTTTTTAGTTACGAGCATGAAAGGAAACCAGAATGTCATGAAGAAGCCAATGGGTGCCGAAACTCATACTTAATCAAAAATTAGCATTTGCATATATTGTGTGTAAACCTGTTGTATGGTAAGTAACGTCGCATAATTGCAGTTAACTTACAGAAGATTGTAAATGAAGTCTCGCTCGTAGGTCGTTTTTGCCATGGCAACCTGACCTTTCTCGTTCCCACACCGTCTGACAGCCTCCGTCTCGTTCACAGGGTCCGGGAAGTACTTATAGCAGTGGTCACCCATTATCCGCCAATCATCAGGACAAACTGCCACGACACAACAGTAATGTATATGTTTGATAAAGTCAATCACTCAGAATCTATATTGAATATGCTTCCTAAGATCAGGAGCAAATTCAGAACATGGACGATAGGACTTCAAAATCTGTGTTTCGTCAAATCTCGATGGGCAAGAAAAAAATGAAAATATTCCGATTTTCATAATTTCATATAACGAAGGAATTGTTTATCAAACTGACATTTAAGCTAGTTTCAGCGTGTCACTCACTGCATCTGGCTCGTCGATTGGTCGATAAAACGTTTGAGGTCGGTGTCGTCCTTGATTTCAGAAGCAGTGTACCACATTGTATCTTTTTCGGAGACTTATTGTTTGCGCGCATTGTCAACTTAAGATTACGCATACAAGTATATGGAAATGTAAAATGTACATTGCATATACAGTAATCAGTTCGTAGATAGCGTGAAGGTAAGATGTTTTCCTTTTCTAAAATATGTCGGTAAGTACGAGATATAAATTTAAGTATTGTTGTGGACATCATTATGGGATTGGAAACTTTAAAATCAAAGATGGCAGATTTTGCAAACGATCATAACTTGTCTGTTTAATTTTTCAAAAACAAAAAATCTAAGCAAAAAACACAAATTCATAATTTCTGTTTCCATTATACACTTGTAATATAATGTAAATTAACAAAATCCCGTCCTACCCTGACAGACCCGTCCCTCTCCTGCCCATGTGCTGTCCGTCAGGCATGTCTGGCTCCGGATGTTGCCTCCATTCATACACCGGAAGTGGACGTTCTCTCCAACACGATAGGACGCCCTCAGCGCATCCAGAGGTTTTCCATCAATGGGAGGTGTCGGGCTGCTACATCGTATTGATGACGCTGGTATAATGACATTAATCACTCATAAATCCTACTTCAGTCAGTATAAAGTAGTAGTTATACAACAGCGAAGAAATAGGAAAACTGTTAACTTGACACCGGAGGCATATAGATATTTGATATTATCTATTACAGAGGATAAGCAGAACAAAACAATTATACTCTACCGACGTACCTGGTGCGCTTTTCTGAGTATCACAAAGCCCACACGTGCGTGCACATCCGACAACCCCTTCCTTGATATGGTGGCCAAGTAAACAGTACGTAAAATCGGCAGTTTTCGAGGCCAGGCAGTCGTCTAGGATATCAAAGCATCCTCCTAAAAGAAGGAAATATGGACTCTATATAAAAGATTCTTATTTAAATGGTGTGACGTCAGCTGTAATGGAGGCGATGACGAGGTTATAACTTACCAGTTCCACATACGTCACAGTAATCCCGTCTGCAGTCCTCGGCGTGTGTGTAACACCAGGGCCTGGTACCGTGCCCGGGACTCCGACACTTGTTCCCCTCCAGGCCGGCAAAGCGGTCACTGTGAGGAAAATGTACATCGGACAATGATTAAACGATTCATTACAAAACACTCTAAATAATCTTTTTTTTGCATGAAATTTATTTCCACAAAGTTTGCGCAAGACATACACGTTGAGTGATGCGAATCAAAGTCATAACGAATTAAGTACAAAAGATGTCAGGTCTTGAAATTAAAAATGTGTAAATAAAAGTATTAAAAGTTATTGCATTACCCCTCCGCGAATTCGTGATGGTGACAGTTAGTGACGTTACGCCAGGGGAGACAAGTCTGTAAGTCGTGTGTGAAGTTTATATCTCCTCTATATGTCCAGCCCTTGTCACCGGAAAGGTAGCACAGATCATCACCTTCCATATAAAGAAAAAAATTATGAACTACAAATTCATAGCATATAGTTAATATTTCATTCAAAAACAATAAAACTCCATAGATGAACCCTTTACAAACAATGAAAGAAAATAACTGACTATTGTTTATACACTTAAAACGAACAGCATTACTTAAAATATATTACAGTTAACTCATTAACGTAGAAACTATATACATGTAATGCAGTCATTTATAACTTTCCTAAAGAAGCTCGTCGTTCTTTTTAATTCATAACCGATTAAAATACTTGGGGGATATATTAGGTGACTATATACTAGCTGTAATCGAATTTCCCTTGACAATGTCTCACTTTTGGCCTGTAGTTGAGCGTTCGCCCCTGTGAGGAAGGCTTTGGGCTCTGTCCCCTGGCCGAGACATACCAGAGTCTGTAAAAATTGGAAGTTTTTACTCCTGCTTAACGCTCAGCAATATAGGAGTGGGACGACTGGTTCGCCCGTTGTCAGTATAATGTGTCCTGCTGGGTGTCTTCGGTAGTATGTTTCAGTGAGATAGCACTATAAAGTCGGCATCAGTTCCGCGCTATCACAAGGAGACAAACACGAACATATCGCAGCCTCCCAACACACACGTATACACTACGCGTATGCATCTTGCAAACAGGGGTACCGTCCTTAAATTACCATAGCTGTTGATAGGACGTTAAACAATACTAAACCAAACCATGTGGACTTCAACAGTCCCTTTACTTTCCCTCACGCATTCATCAAAACCGGATTAGCGAGACTCACACACAACAGCGTTTGTTCCACTGTATCATATATGTTCAGACAACCTCGTTTCAAGGTGCACTGTAATAACAAATTACCTTGAGGTGCCAGGGAAACGCTGGCCCGGAAGTGATTGCTCCCAGTCTGAGGGGTCATCGAGTGTAGGATCAGGGACATAATGTTTGTCTGGGACTCTATTGCTGACCGGAACCCGCTACCACAGTACCTTAAAACCACAACAAAACAGTCAATATACTGTATAAAGTGGAATCGTGACGTCAGTCTACATTTTTGAGTTTTTGTTGTTGTTGTTGTTTTTTCAGTAGTAAAACCCCTTTTCGCAATTCGTGCATGATGATTCGTGAAAGAATGTTTGAATTTAAACGAACAATTACCATCTCGAAAAATCATGTATAATTTTATTTAAAAAAAATGCTAAACAGTTTAAAACTGTTCAAAATGGAAATAATATTTAATTACTTAATATTTCAAAATCATTAATAAAAACATCATCGAAGAACATTCTCGTCATTTTGTTTAACAGAAGGGTTGAATGATAGCACATATAATTACATACGATATTCCAGGTTGTCCTGGCAGGAACGACCGGATCTCTACTTTGTCACTGCAAACAGAAGGATCTTCAGTCGAGGCCGGAATTTCAAACTCGGGAAAGCTCAGCAACATCGTTGTATTGGGAGGACTCTGAATAAATACCATTACTGCTAGTGATACCATTATCAATGTATTGTAAACTGGGGCATGATCGGGTTGCTTATTGATTATTTAAAACACACTCTGTATAGTGTGTTATTTGTTATATAACTGTTGCTTGTTGCAGGGAGACTTTTTGAAAAGGTCACTTTTGATAGTGTATCTATAACCAAATTTGGTAACCGTTTAAATCTAGTTGAGTGTGACTCTCAAGAGATTATACAACTCCAACTGAATCTATCCGCATTGATCATAAAAGAGCATGTTTTCTCTTACACGTATTCCGTCTTTGCGTATTGCAGAGTTATCTTCTCTTGTGAGCAGGTATTGATTGTTTCGTCATTTGTTTGTGTGAGGAAATTACGTCGTTTTCTCAAAAATTAAATTCCTCTCCAAAACAAATGACGTAACAATCAATACCTGCTCACAATAGAAGATAACTCTGCAATACGCACAGACGGAATAGGTTACATGGTACATATGTAACACTGGAGAAGACTTCTAAAGTCTGTTTCTAAGTCCATTTAAACAGAACAACTGAATTCCATGTGAGAATCGTAATAATTCCCTGTAGTATATTCTTAGGTAATCCGTGTCGACCAATGACATACCTGTATCACCCAGGTACACACAGAGAGCGGCCGGTAGGAGGCAGGATAGTCTGGTGACGTCAGCTCTCGAATGGAGTCAGATTCCGTCAAGTGAATGATGCCACCACAACCTTAATAGATATTTTTTCAACTTTGGTGATGTACAGTATTAAACATGTCAAGTATTTCTCGTGTTTACAACATTTAACAGACATTAATGTTTAGTTGTATTCATTTTTTACACTTTCCCTAATTGTATTAAAACATGGAACACAGACCTGTTTAAATGAACAAAGAATATGGATACATAATATAACGTGGTTACCATGAAAATTATAATTAAATACAACACATTAGTTCTTATGCTGCGTGTACAATGCAATTCTGTTTAACAGTATTCAAGGTTTTACCAGCTAGTTTACGAACATTAACAACACAATTTTAACCCGCTTACCTTTCTGTATGGGTTTATAAATACACACATAAAGCACCATTTTTCTATAACGTTTCTTGAAAAGTGGTAACGGTCTCTTTAGCTCGGCTACCCCTCTTGCCCTTCGATTTGTAAATTCGAAATGCTGAGGAATACCGACAGCACCTGCAAAATGGGAAAATATTACAGATTTATTAGCTGTGCGTTTCTGGTGATATATTTTTTCAGTCGTAAATAATGTAAAAGCAGAACTTGGTTTACATTAGCAATAAACTTACTTTACAATATAGCTTGTCGATACTGAATACATGTACCTTTGACTTTCTGACAAGCCTTTCTGTCCCGTTTCCACAAAAGGAATGGCTGTTTTACCGGAAGCACTATAGGGTTGTCTTTATTTCCGTCACTTCTACAGCAGAACTCAAACTTGGTGTGAAGTGTATAGTTCCCGTCAGGCAAAGTCCCGGAAGTGACGGGAGGTCTGACGTCTGCGTACTGTAAGAATCCATTCGTAAACCCTATAACAAATAGATAAATCGGGAGGTTATGGGCTTCAATACACCAGCCATAGCTATATGAGTGACAAATGGCGAAACGACAGATTTCATGCATGAAGTAAAGTTTAATTACCTTCTGGGCAAGATCCTCCAGCACGTGACACACAATACTGTCCAGGAGGCCACGTGATCGATTTCTTTGACTTTTTAGTACCAGAACTAAAAGTACAAAACTCAAGTTTGGTAGCTTTCGCCGAAACACTTCCGGCGATGTCATAGTCACGAGATCGCTTTCCCTGTCCGAAGTGTGTGACGTAGCCTACTTCAGATCCCTTAGGACACTTAACATCCTTCACCTTCAGAATCGAGAAGCCCCCCTCAGGCCACTTGATGTTTCGTGCTTTATCTTTGTGATAGACAATACAGTAGATGGTTTGATTTTTTTTAAATATAAAACGTTAATTAATTTTGAATGTTATACATTATTAACGAACTTTTAAAGAAGAGAAGGTACACGAAAGTTATGTGTCTTTTGTTTTCGTTATATTTCATCAAAATATATATGTAAATCTGAACTGAATATCCTGATTACACGGTATGAATGGGAATACTGGATTAGATAGGAGTGTGGGAGTAGGTGGATAGACGATGGAGACGGCTATGGGGAAGAGGAAAATGGAGAAGAGAAGCAGGGAAAGGGGATGGAGAGAAGATACGGACCTCCTCCTTCAATAGTTGTACAGTTGGTGGCCGAGTCTAGTCCAGCGATACAGCGGCACACACACTGGCCTTCTCGGTAGGTCAGGTAGCCATCATAGGCACAGGTAGCGGTAAAGTCAGGACATTTGTCATCTGTAAAAACCAAATGCTACAGTGAAATTGTTTTCAAAACCTTTCTACGTGATGTCTTTTTCCCCCTAAGTCTTTCCACGTGACATTTCAATCCTAACCTTACATACTATCGGTATAGGCACTTATATCTTCCTGTTATATACTTTCAACCTATTACTTACTTTCTGCCTGCTTGTACATTTGTATACGTGACCTCCCTACCTATCAGTACTTTAGTGCATTTATACACGTGACTCTCCTTTTAACCAGTACTCTTGTTCACTTGTACTCGTGACTACTCTATCTACATGTACACTGATACACGTGATCTTCCCCTGCCTACATGTACACTTCTACACGTTTACGCCGTGCTTACCTGTACACGTCTACACGTTAACGTCGTTCTTACCTGTACACTTCTACACGTTAACGTCGTGCTTACATGTACACTTCTACACCTGAGCCCCCTGTCTACTTGTAAATTTGTACACGTGTGACTTCCGTGCCTAACTACTCTTGTACACTTTTACACGTGACCTCCCTGTTTACAAGTACACTGGTACACGTGACCTTTCCCTACAAACCTGTACACTTATATACGTTTACGCCGTGCTTACCTGTACACGTCTACACGTTAACGTCGTTCTTACCTGTACACTTCTACACGTTAACGTCGTGCTTACATGTACACTTCTACACCTGAGCCCCCTGTCTACTTGTAAATTTGTACACGTGTGACTTCCGTGCCTAACTACTCTTGTACACTTTTACACGTGACCTCCCTGTCTACATGTACACTGGTACACGTGACCTTTCCCTATAAACCTGTACACTAATACACGTTAACGTCGTGCTTACATGTACACGTCTACACGTTAACGTCGTTCTTACCTGTACACTTCTACACGTTAACGTCGTGCTTACATGTACAATTCTACATGTTAACGTCGTTCTTACCTTACAGGTCAACACGTTAACGTCGTACTTACCTGTACACGTCAACACGTTAACGTCGTGCTTACCTGAACACTTCTACAGGTTAATGTCGTGCTTACCTGTACACTTCTACACATTAACGTCGTGCTTACATGCACATTTCTACATGTTAACGTCGTGCTAACATGAACACGTCTGCACGTTAACGTCGTGCTTACCTGTACATTTCTACACGTTAACGTCATGCTTACATGTACACGTCAACATGTTAACGTCGTGCTTACCTGTTCACTTGTACAGGTTAACGTCGTGCGTACCTTTACACTTCTACACATTAACGTCGTGCTTACATGTACATTTCTACACATTAACGTCGTGCTTACCTGTACAGGTCAACACGTTAACGTCGTACTTACCTGTAAACGTCAACACGTTAACGGCGTGCTTACCTGTACAGTTCTACAGGTTAACGTCGTGCTTACCTTTACACTTCTACACATTAACTAACGTGTTGACCTGTACAGGGAAGCACGACGTCAACGTGCGGACGTGTACATATAAGCACGACGTCAACGTGCGGACGTGTACATATAAGCATGACGTGAACGTGTAGAAATGTACAGGTAAGAACGACGTAAACATGTAGAAATGTACATGTAAGCACGACGTCAATGTGTAGAAGTGTAAAGGTACGCACGACGTGAGCCTGTACAAGTGAACAGGTAAGCACGACGTTAATGTGTAGTCTACACATTAACGTCGTGCTTGCCTGTTCACTTGTACAGGTTAACGTCGTGCGGACCTTTAGACTTCTACACATTAACGTCGTGCTTCCCTGTACACTTCTACAGGTGAACGTCGTGCTTACATGCACATTTCTACATGTTAATGTCGTGCTTACATGAACACGTCTGTACGTTAACGTCGTTCTTACCTGTACAGATCAACACGTTAACGTCGTACTTCCCTGTACACGTCAACACGTTACCGTCGTGCTTACCTGTACATTTCTACATGTTAACGTCGTGCTTACCTGTTCACTTGTACAGGCTAACGTCGTGCGTACCTTTACACTTCTACACATTAACGTCGTGCTTACATGTACATTTCTACATGTTAACGTCGTGATTATATGTACACGTCTGCACGTTAACGTCGTGCTTACCTGTACATTTCTACACGTTCACGTCATGCTTATATGTACACGTCTGCACGTTGACGTCGTGCTTATATGTACATTTCTACACGTTAACGTCATGCTTATATGTACACGTCTGCACGTTGACGTCGTGCTTACCTGTACATTTCTACATGTTAACGTCGTGCTTATATGTACACGTCTGCACGTTAACGTCGTGCTTACCTGTACACGTCTACATGTTAACGTCGTACTTACCTGTACATTTCTACACGTTAATGTCGTGCTTACCTGTACATTTCTACACGTTAACATCGTGCTTACCTGTACACGTCTACACGTTAACGTCGTACTTACCTGTACACGTCTACACGCTAACATCGTGCTTACCTGTACATTTCTACACGTTAATGTCGTGCTTACCTGTACATTTCTAGACGTTAATGTCGTCCTACCTGTACACGTCTACACGTTAACGTCGTTCTTACCTGTACACGTCTACACGTTAACGTCGTACTTACCTGTACATTTCTACACGTTAATGTCATGTTTACCTGTACATTTCTACACGTTAATGTCGTCCTACCTGTACACGTCTACACGTTAACGTCGTTCTTACCTGTACACGTCTACGCGTTAACGTCGTACTTACCTGTACATTTCTACACGTTAATGTCGTGCTTACCTGTACATTTCTACACGTTAACGTCGTTCTTACCTGTACACGTCTACACGTTATCGTCGTGCTTACCTGTACACTTCTATACGTTAACATTGTTCTAACCTGTACATCTGCATACGTTAACTTCGTACTCACCTGTACATTTGTACACGGACTCAGCCTCCCTCAGGAAGTAGTAATACTGCGAGTCTTTCTCTCCCACTAAGTATTTCATGTGAGGGTCCAACAACGTGATCGCTGCGCGCCCGTTCTTGTTGAAAGCCTGTATAATGTTTGAATATCATTAATGAGCATGAACACACGCGTCTATTTTGATGCATGACGACAAAAAGAGCATGTCAAACATTTTTAAAGACACCGTCAAGGGGAAGGAGCTCATATTTAATTGGTTTGCAGAGAAAACGTTTCAAAATAAGGTAGCAAATCGCTAACCAAGAACAAGATATTTTGCATTAAAAGACAACGAAATGTTCGTGGTTTACGCGCGTTACCTTTAAGCCGTAGTGCATAACCGAGGTATAGTCGTACCGCCACGGGAACAGCGCCCTCTTGTGGGCCTTCACCTTGTGGAAGGCAAACACGTTGTCTGTGTAGTAAGACATAACAATGATTGGTCAGATGTCAAAACAAACGTGTCATATATTAAACGACTAAAGATCTAAATAAGACGATTCAAATATACGCAATGAAGTTCTTAATGAGAATAGAAGTATATAATTACATATAGTCAATCCAGGTAAACAATTGATAAGAATTAATACATGTATCTTCTGAAGACTGTTTCGTTTCAGCATTTATCTTGTTACATATCCACTCCATAAATGCTTTCTTTTCTTAAAGAATGTGTTACATATAAAAGAATATTACTCATGTTTTAGGTGATACATGCAGCCACCAGTTAAAGTGATAACCTACCAGGCTTGATGTTTTCGTAGTTAATCCGAACGTAGTCATCTCTATACGGATTCTGCTGCTCATGACTGAAGCCTAGTGCATGTCCGATCTCATGTATACAATTCTTCTGCCAAATTCAAAATGTTAAACAAAAATAAGATGTTTACTTACATAAAATGTCTTTGTTTTACTTAAATCAAAATAAAGAGAAACATAGTTAATATTATGAATGAACGACGGCACGTTTGCAGGATAAAACCCATGATCTCATAACAATTACATGTAGTCTACGTTCCATGTATATCACGTAAATGAAACTACGAAATCCCAATAATGTCCATGAAAAAAGCAACAGATCTTTAAATTAATGGAAAAAAATAATAACATTTGAGATTCGAACTAACGACCCCTGGAATTGCAAAACAGTTTTAGTTTTGTCGTATAGACAAATGATGTATACGCGTACCCCTTGGCAGCAGGAGATGTTCTGGCCTGACATTCCTGCAGACGACATTCCAACGTGAGACCAGCATCTGGTGGAGAAAAGCAAAAGAGGGTATCTCTATAGGTAACCTAAGAGCTTGTCTTAATTAACAATCGAGTGGATTTCGTTGTCAACCTAACCGAAACTACAATAAAATGTATCTGTACTACAATAGGTTTCCGTCAGTAACCATGCTAAAGGAAAGGAGTCCGCAAATGAAACCTGTCACCGCGTTAGCTACGAGACGAAGAGTTGTCCTATGGTCACAAGATATTACAAGGACTATATAACCTTCAAACATGTTCTGCTGTTTGGTTTCATACGAAATCCGTTTGCTGGAGAACTGTTAGCGATTTAATAAAAAAAATAAAAAAATATCGTTACCCTGAATGTCTACCGAAGTTAAGATGATTGTCGTGCTCCAATCCAAAGTCTTGACCTGTAGTCGCCGTCCAGGGAACAAACCGGAAGCAAGTCCAATATTCAAACAACGACATAGCCGATAAAATCTCGCTGACCTTTTCCGGTACTGTAAGTAATGTGAAATAAAGAGATCAATAGCTGTGTAAAACATCAGCCAAACAAAAGTGTGAAAACAAATATTTCCACTTAAATCGTATTATTTCATAATTCATTTGCACCACGTGGCGTTTCGTTATTGTAACAGGAGAGCGACACCTGGTCAGCTCTCGCTGTTGTCCGGGTTCCAGGATTTGAGGAGATTTGAAGACGACGAAGAGTTACTTTGTCATATCTGCAAAATCATCTTCAGTGTCTTTCAGTGTCAATGTCATATCTGCAATCTTACACCGGTGTCCGCGTACGGATCATGATTGTAAATATGAAAGTTTAGATAAATAACGAATTTTCACAACAACCACGAAATTACCCCCCCCNAACCTCTCGTACCATCAGACATGGCGGGACGTATGGTGGGTGAAAGCAAAGCACTTAGTATATTTCTATAACATTTATATTTCCTAGATGACAGTATCATAGTATTTCTATGTTGGTGTTTGAAAAGCTTGAAAACCAATAGCCCGTAAACGTCTATCATATGGTTATGGCTAACGATTGATAATTTTGCATGTTTATCAACTTAGGAAAAGGACATAAAAAAACCTTAAATTAATTTGCAAGATTTATGGACAGACATAATTCTATATACGAGCATCCATATTTAAGGGTCAATGTTTACACGGCGTGGCATACCTAGCGTTGTCATGTCCAATGTGTAGGGTATCACACATTTGGGCCACAGTTTACGGGGTGTGTTCAGCAGGAATCGTTTTGTGATTGATCGGCCATGTGTCTCTTCCTCGTCGTCGTCGTCGTCCTAAATGAATGAATATAGTGTATATATTAGTCTAAATTATTTGTCTATGAATATTAATTGTTTAATTTCTCATTCCATGAAAAAAAAAAAAAACGATGTCGCTATTAACCCACAGGTAATAGACACAACATATCCTATGCCTATATTCTAATATGTAATTAGTAAAGGTAAATAGCGAAATGCTAAATCAAGTGCAAGAAAACGACGAAAAAAATAAAAATCGTGAGCCCGGCGGTCAAAACTGTGTTTAGATCTCCTCACAAATCCCCATTTTACCATTTAAAACAATCCGTTTGAAAATTGATCGACTTACCTCCAAAATATGACATTTGAAAGTTGGAGAAATCGCCTATTCAGTTAGCGAAACATTTGGGACGTCCAGAACTTTTGTTGAAAAACGGCTATTTTTAACGGGATATCAACGATTTTCAGGGGTAACCATCCTTGACGTGTTTCCAAATTGATATTCCCATTTCGACCGAACAATGGTCGTTCGCTTCACTAACTTCGATATGGTCAGAATCACTTCATGCATGCGTCAGGTAGCAGAAAAGTTTTTAAAACATCCCTGACTTCACGACGACAAACAGCAGACGCCATGTTTTTAGATAGTCCGACTGAATAGATCCTCGAGATGCGATTGGTCCAAATTAAAACAGGTAAGTTTTTTTTAATTTACAGTAAAAATGTATTTATGTTTTATGAAAGAATGTAACACATTTCGTTAATTTATCAAATTGAAATAAGTGTAAATAAACATCGTTTGGGTTTCTAAATAGATTCCTAAAATGTCATGATTTATTTGACAAGCGTCTGTGGGACCAAGTTAAATTTAGAAACCGGGAAATTCGAAAACAACGATGGCACTTGTTACGTGGTAGGCATAATTTTAATTTTAATATTAATACGTTGACATTATCCAGATCTCGTAATGATAACATTGGAAACTATTTTTCTGTTAACATGTGGCTTGTAATAATATAGCGCTGTCAAGGAAAGAGCGTCTGAGTGACCGAGACTAATTACCATATATTCACTCCGGATCGCTGAAGCAGTTCAAACAAAACATGGCGTCGAAAAGCTATCGCTGCCCATCTGGAAAAACTTTTCTGCTACCTGACGCATGCATGAAGTGATTCTGACCATATCGAAGTTAGTGAAGCGAACGACCATTGTTCGGTCGAAATGGGAATATCAATTTGGAAACACGTCAAGGATGGTTACCCCTGAAAATCGTTGATATCCCGTTAAAAATAGCCGTTTTTCAACAAAAGTTCTGGACGTCCCAAATGTTTCGCTAACTGAATAGGCGATTTCTCCAACTTTCAAATGTCATATTTTGGAGGTAAGTCGATCAATTTTCAAACGGATTGTTTTAAATGGTAAAATGGGGATTTGTGAGGAGATCTAAACACAGTTTTGACCGCCGGGCTCACGATTTTTATTTTTTTCGTCGTTTTCTTGCACTTGATTTAGCATTTCGCTATTTACCTTTACTAATTACATATTAGAATATAGGCATAGGATATGTTGTGTCTATTACCTGTGTGTTTACCGGTATTTGAAGGACGGTAAAACCGAAAACATAACTCCCATGTGTCATCAGGTCGCTCGGCCATAACATGACGAGACCAGAAACAATCTTTATGTTCCATCAGCTGTACCGGAAGTGCCAGTGTATATCGTGATTAGTTCACAAGTATACGACATTTAAAATACGTACAAAATTCAAATTAATAATCACCAATACCAAACACTTACCATATTCTCATCTAAGTCGTCATCTAAAATGTCCGTATTTATTTCATTGATGTTTTCATCTGCCCATTCGTCGTCAAGCTTCTCCTGTATGTGTAGAAAAATACACAATGAAGTTAATCAAAATAAAATCATATTAGTTTTTTTGTAAAGATTGAACGGCATTTCTTCAGTTTCATGCCGGCATGAACATCGAAAATATGCCGTTCAATCCTTACATAAGCATTCTAGTAGTTAGCATTGGCCTTAATACAGACATTCCCTGATATTTTCGATATTGAAGTGTCTGTGGGTCCATGCAAACGAGATTCCTTGAACAGCCTAACGTCACCAAAATGTTTGCTTCTAACGGATGTCTCGTGTCATTCTAGGTGGGAGGAGATGGTTCAAAATGACGCTCATCTAATTGCGTTCTTAGGTCTATGAACGCAATTTCTCTTTGCTAGAAGAACTCGCAGTACCAAGTGAAATTCCCATTTCTCTTTTCAGTTTCTACATTTGTAGCTGCTGAAACAGTAATTTAATATCCAATACATTTATGTTCTTTCAATCTGCATGTCTACATCTGATTGGGAGTTAGGTATTCAGTGCCTTAGACTTGATAATAAAATAATGAGTTACGATTACGGAAGCTAAGCAATTTTAATTATTATTATAACGTGAACAAGTGTTGTATACTTTGCCAGCACCATAAAACTACCACTTACTTGATGGAGTCTTTTGGTGTATTTCATAGATGTTGAAACAAGTCAAATTTTATCATTTCAGATTTTATCGTATAAAAATAATCAAACCATACTAATGCGTCGTCCACCATTCGTTGAGATGCTGCAGATATCAGCCCGTGGTTCATAACAAATCCGAGGTCACTCTCGATCTCTCTGTAAGGGTCAACTGGGACATCCTTAGGGGGGGGGGAAACAAATACTCAGTATTACAATCAATGAACTTCGTGCTATTCAGCAGTGCGTATTATATTAAAATGTGATATAAACGTGGCAAACACAATATATTAACAAAATTGAACACAACTCCTTTATATTGTAGTTTTAAATTCGACTAGAGAACAACATTCATTAATGTAAATATTAGAAGTTTTCGCAATAAGTTAGATTATATAGAGGACATAGCTTGTGAGTATGACATTATATGCCTGACTGAGACAGACTTGAATGACAAAGTATCTACTGACGAGTTACATATAGCCGGTTTTCATTAACCCTTTCGACAAGACAGAAACTTTGCGGGGGGTGGTTTATTAGTCTATGTTAACAATTTACTGAAAGTATGTCGCTTACCAGCTATAGAATACCCGGGTGACGAAGTCATGTGGATACAAATTACTTTGCCCAGATCAAATCTGATAATTGGTACAGTTTATAGGCCTGAATACTCTGTTAATCCTTTCTGGCAAAACTTAAAAGCATCTATTGATACTGCATTAGATATATCTTAAAATGTACTTATTGTTGGCGATCTTAACGTTGATTTACTAACTGTTTCCAATAACTATGTCCTTATTGATTTTATTAACACATTTTCCTTGAAAAACGTTATAAATTAACCTACAATAATTAGTCCATCTAAATCTAGTTTACTTGACCCCATTTTACTATCAGATTCACTTACTTGTAAAGAGTCTTTAGTTTTACCTATTGATAGAGCAGTAAGTGATCATGAAGGTTGTATTGTAGTTATTGAATTTACCTGTTTTACCAAACCTCTTTACAAACGGAAAATGTGGTTATACAAACGAGCCGACTTTGACATGCTAGATGACCTTATTGACGGATATGACTGGACTGTTTTGTTTTCTGTAAGTGACTCGGTTGATACTGCGTGTGACAATTTTACTATCATTTTTTTCGAATTTATAAATAGATGTATACCCTCAAAAACAGCTGCAGTTCGCATTGGCTCGAAAATTATCTTCACCGGCGCAAACAGAAAGTTTTAATTGGAAATTCATTTTCGGAAGTAGGTAATATTCACGCAGGTGTACCTCAAGGGTCAATACTCAGGCCGCTTCTCTTTTTGATATTTATTAATGATATTGATTCGGCCTCCAGGTTATTTGCAGATAAAACATCCTTGCTTTATTCTGCTATTTCATCCTTCGAAATACAGACAGTTCTCAACAAGGACCTAGAATCTTTAAATCAGTGGTCTAAACGTTCGTTGGTTTCTTTTAATCGTTCTTTTTATTTCAAATGCAAACGATATTGACGATGATTTGGATTTGATGTTTGATGGGAAATATTTAAATTTTACAGACATTTAGGAGTAAATTTCAATTCAAATGGAAAATGGGGGAGTCATGTTGAGGCAGTTTATAGTTCGGTTATGAAAAAGATTAATGTTTTACGAAAACTCAAATACTTGTTGAAAAGAGATTCACTTTTAAAAATGTATAAATCTTTCATTTGCCCAGTTTTTGAATATGCCTGTGAATTATGGGATGGTTGCACTGCTTTTGATTCCGAGAAATTAGAGAAAGCTCAAAGAGAGGCGGCTCGAGTTATAACAGGTCTGCCTTCTTATACAATTAATGATTCATTATTTTGAAAGGGGTTTAGAAACATTATCAGAGAGAAGAAAAGGGCGAAACTTGATTTTTTTTATATAAAATGAAAAACAATTTAACCCCCCGCTATTTATCGGCCCTTTTGTCAAACACAGAGGGTAACAACAATCGGTACAATTTATGGAACCGATATGATTACAATATTTCTTCTTTCAGACTCTCCTCAAGCAACTCTTCTTTTCTGCCATCGAGTTTAAGTCTTTGGAATTCGTTCGACAATACAATAAGAACATTTCCATCTTTAAATACTTTTAAATCTGCAATATCAAGTGGTGCAAATTCGTCTCCCCAATCTTATCATAATTTTGGCGAACGCAATTTAAATATATTACATACGAAACTCAGGATTCAGTGCAGCTCTTTGAAAAATGATTTGTTCCGTGTTAAGATTGTTGATAATCCATCATGCGCTTGTGGAAATTCCTGTGAGGAAGTTGGTCATTTTTTCTTAGAATGTAAACTTTTTAATACAGCACGAATTATGTTATTTCAACACATAAACTCGTTGAATACATATCAAGTAAATTTAGGTTTATTTTTATTTGGGAATGAAAATCTGTCCGTAGATACCAATACAGAAGTATTCAGACACGTGCAACTTTTCATCAAATCCAGCAACAGGTTTTAAGTAAAATATAATAATTGTAAAATATAGCATGTATGCCTTGTTAAATGCTATCATGTAAATATCAATATGTACTGTATTAGAGGAAAAGGCGTTGATAATATAAGTTGATATAACTTGTGCCTAATCCTCTGCTCAAATTTGGGGCAATAAATATGTTTAAATAAAAAAAATCAATTCATTAATATATTTAAATGTGATATTTACTTAAAAAGATACAATGTATTTACGATATCGGAAATAACCCCCTTACATTCTAGTGTAAATTTGACTGGTGATGATAAGTGCAAGAATTTCTCTCGTACATCAATCATTAAATCAACTACTCAACACAGTCAAAAGAGATTTCCTTGCATACTCACAAAAACGCTTTGAAGACCTGTAAAATTACAGCTTTACTGATTAAACGGTGGTTTTACGCTTAGCTGAATACAAATCCTAGTTTAACCATTTATGTTCGAATGGGGTAATATACAGAGGATATTTAATGGTTTCCCATTGAATCCCGTTTATACGTACATGTATTTCAAGCGAAATAAATTTGAACAGTTATTCGTTATTCGCAATAACGAATAGCATTCTAACAAGTGCGAAGCACGAGTGAAAATGTGGTATAGTCTGTCACACGAGTGAAACACATATGGAATTTGACGGGAAAAACTTTTATCATATTTGAAGATATCACATTTCGTATATGTCCACCTCAGTGAAGTTATACTTTTCCATCAAACTGATATTTTTTAATATTTCACTGGTAAATATGTAATAGATATATATGCAAGACCACACACTTGTGTTTTTCTAACGAATCAGCAAGCACGAGTTTATTGCACGGACGAATATATACGTCTGCGCAATAAATGAGTGCTTTCTGATTTGTTAGAAAAACACAAGTGTGGTCTTGCTTTTTTCACATACCTTCCGTATTTGGTAGAGATCGATTACAAAGATTTCATATACTTTGATATTTTTGCAAATACCCGGAACGTTTCAGTTCGCCATAACAAGGGGATTCCCATAAAAAAAGTAGTTCGGGCTAGTAGGTAAATACAACATTCCGTTTGTACATGTGCAATACAGAACGCTGTATTTCATGGTCTGAAAATTGCTTGTATTACTATAACAAGATTCAATAAGTATGTGATAAATATATATATATCAGCAGAATGTCCTTCCTTTTTTTTTTAGGTTGAAATTTATCTTGAACATTTATGAGGGTATGCAACACAGTTCCGTTCAAATATATTCCATGATGCGCTTTAGGTGGTGACTGTTGTGTACATAGTAAGGTCAGAGGTCATACAACGGTACATGTAGCACTGTTTATACATGTATTACTTCACACTTGCTTTTATTGAATCATAACAAAATGTTGAGATGGTACAGTTATCTAGAGGGTCTGCAACACAAATGGAAATATTACGCAATGGTGTACTGTAGAAATTTCCCCCATGGCCTTCTGCTGTGCTACTACAAACAATACATCATCGCTACATCACAACAAAAGGCCTAATGATGACGTCGTGTCAAAACGTCAGTGGACACAGTACAACATATATAAACTGACCACAACTATACCGTATATCACGCACTGTCCGTAGATTTCCGGCCGTTTTGCATGATACCGGATAATGAATATTTTATTTCTATTCAAGGGCCCGTTGTGGCAAATAAACAAGGGGTAAGAATTTTTGATTCGATAAAACAAGATGACAATCCAGTTTATATATAATAATGTAATACTGAAATTATCATTAGATTAATACTCATCGAAACATTTACTGACGATTCACGGATACACGGTGTAAAATGTTATTAAATCAATTTTATATATTTTGTTTTAACACTTTGTAGCTACAAATATGATATCCCACCAAAGTTTCACATTGACAATATACTAGTTATACAAAATACACGTACCTCAGTCTGTATTCCAATGGCCACTGATAAGATGACCATCACAGTGGTCATCGCCATGCCCGTCATGTTTCAGTATAACACTCCTTTTTCTACTCCCTCCGAGGTCACTGCCTGACGAACGCTTGCCAGTTGTAGCTACTGAGACGGACTAGATGGGTTCGAGCACATATACGCTCTGGCCTCCCCTATCGTACCAGCGAATAGGGATCATGCAGCGCATCTATATGCAAATCAGATTGGACCAACCATGACTGATCAAATTACTGTAATCTGATACAATTATTTTTAGATAAGATATGAAATTGAACTACTGCAGCTACCGTTTTTGATTTAGATACATGTACCATTTTAAGCTATTTAATATATCTTATTGAACAGCTTTGTTATGCATTAAATCTATATTTCGAATTTCAGAAATTAGTTTTTAGTTATACAGAACATCTCATGTATTAAAATCGATCATTTCCTTTTTTCGTTGTAAACGATCATCGATCAACGACAATGGAATTGATCTTGACCTATTGTTATAGAGTGACATCCATAAACTCCAATGTAATAATAATGGTGATCACCCAAGAATAACTTTTATGACTTCCTTTTATATTCCAGTTGTAAACTATCGATGCATTCGCAACTCATTCCTTTTTAACATATATTATTGATTTGTAAACAGTAATATAATGTATATATATATTTGTAAACAGTAATATAATGTATATATAATATATATTTGTAAACAGTAATATAATGTATATATATATTTGTAAACAGTAATATAATGTATATATTTGAAAACACTACTGCAATGTATATCAGTGTAAACATGACTACAATATATATATATATATTTGTAAACAGTACTACAATGTATATGTATTGTAAATAGTATTACAATGTATATATATATGTAGGCAGTAGTACAATGTATGTCTTTGTAAACAGTTCTACAATGTATATATTTGTAAACAGTATTACAATGTATATAGTTATAAACAGTATAACAATGTTTATGTTTGTAAACAGAATTACAATGTATATATTTATAAACAGAATTACAATGTTTATAGTTGTAAACAGTATAACGATGTATGTGTTTGTAAACAGAATTACAATGTATATATTTGTAAATAGTATTACGATGTATATATTTGTAAACAGAATTACGATGTATATATTTGTAAACAGAATTACGATGTATATATTTGTAAACAGAATTGCAATGTATATACACAATGTATTTGTAAACAGAATTACAATGTATATATTTGTAAACAGTATAACGATGTATGTATTTGTAAACAGAATTACAATGTATATATTTGTAAACAGAATTACGATGTATATATTTGTAAACAGAATTACGATGTATATATTTGTAAACAGAATTACGATGTATTTATTTGTAAACCGTACTGTGTATTTGTAAACGATGCTATATGTTTTCGCGTTTCAAATACATAAAATACAAATAAATTCGTTTGAAGAATTATGTAATTTGACTAAGCTACATCCACTATTGTTCGCGGCAGACACATAATCCATATAAAATTTTAGGCCGGTTATTCAATTAGCGCTTTTGTTTTTAACAGCGACAACGAGAGGTGAAAGGTTTAGCAGTTCCTGTTTTTCCGTAATGTGATGGTAGGCTAATGTGTTTACACCTAAACATACGTATCGTTAGTATGAACAATAATAGTTTTCCCATATTTTGCAAATTCGTAATTTTGATATATTTATGGTAAAATAATCATGTTTTTGTGATATATAGTTAAGGGCGGCTGTACTTTTACACGCCTATAATATATATGGTCCGTTAATATATTCATGAGGATGGTAAAAATCCGCGCGTGAGTCGACATATCGTCTCGCTTGTCGTAAATTAGTTGGCCGGGTTAGTCAGCTCCGTTTTGCCATTAATCATACAATTTTGAAAACAACAACTACACCGGAAGTTGAGATGTGTGATGTTGTAATTGAGGACATGCTCATCATCATCTATATCTCAGTAGACTGCAGTGTGTGCAATAAGAACAACGCCTTGGAACAATGCGTATGTTATACAATTTAAAATCCTGATACAGTGTAGGTAGTCTATGAATGGCATGAGCCGATTGTTGACCTCAAAACTGTTACGTTGGGTACCACTGACGAGTATTTGAAATAAATGCTGAATAATATTAATTATTTTGTATACATTCCAAAGTGGCGAATACAAATAATGAACAGCTTTATAGTTGGCATTCATAGGCAATATGAGACACTTCATTGATTTTTTCCTTTGTCACGTTGGCATTCATATTGCCTATGAATTCCAACTTTTAAAACTCATCAATGCTTAAAAGCATGTTCATCTGACGCCTCCGATTGCACAAGTGTATTAAGCGTATTGAAATGTTTCAAGAGAGTTTTAGTTGAATGGAAGTATATATCTATTCGTTCAATAAATGCCGTTTTATACGTCATGATAACACATGAGTTGAAACGCTTATTTTGCAAACCTACAGTTGTTCTTCAAATGAATTATATATTTTCAGCAAAGTATTGTTCATCATCAGCCGGTATTTATGTTTAATTTGCTTTCCGAAAACCTCAACCGATAAATCAACGTCGGACAAAATGACGCCTACGACGGAATATTGATGTTACGTTACCGTTACAAAGTTTTATCGCAAATTTATTTTTGTGCAAATAATTCACAATATCTCAGAAACGGTGTACAGTACATGTACCATGAAAAAAGTTTGAGAATGAATAACAGATGCTTCTGTTTAGGTGCATCACAGTTCATTAAGCTTTTAGAAAAAACGCCATGAAAATCCAGTTAACGTACAATGTATTGCAATAGTAGGGGTCCATCAACAATCCATTGCTGTTTTCACAATTATCGACGTTACTATAGTCTGACTTTACTCTTTTTAAATGGTTCTTAGTTGATAACATATATTACTTGTTTTTGACTTTCTGAGTCGTCATGAAAAGGATGCTTCCATATTTCATATTCTAGTGATTAGTCTACGTCACAAAGTGGTTAACTCTGTTGTTTGGCTGTTAGTCCCCAAAGTTGGCCGTAACCTTATAGTTGATATCTATTCCATGACATAACATGAAATACCAGTTTTGAAATATACTATCTGCTAAAGCTAAAATTTACAATTTCAAAACTTTAGATAATCGAAACATAAAAATAATATTAATGGAAAAAAAGACATCTTTGTTAAAAACTAATGTAATCCTTTTTGTATTAAAACCAATAAACTTGGAAAATCGTCATTTTTGAAAAAATATTTATCGAGCATTTTTGTTATACTTCCGTCTCTCCAAATGAACAAACCTGCAGGTAAATTTAAAGCTTATGATATCAATTCAGTGTATGATTGAACGTCTATAATCTGTTTTGTACCATTTCTACCATATGATATATATATTTTAATCACATGTGAACTTCGTGATTAATTCACATCCTCAGACAGACAGCCGTGTTCCAATATGCAATAAACGTGTGATTTTACGTGTTGACCAACCCATTAATTATTCACCTGTACCTACGGTGACCTTAGAATCTGATGGTCTGTACCTTATAGTGAGTCAGCTGGTTTCATTTGATCCAATGCCAATATATCCAGCTTATTGTCTGTACAGGTAAATCAAAACACAGCTGAGACGCCTTTATGTCAGGTAAGATACTGTAGCTATCCAATGACAATGACAGTTGTTTTATTCTCATAAACAATACAGTTTAGAGAATACATATGTACAAATGGCTGACAATAATACATGGTGGAACAGGACGGACATTAGTATTGTAAATTAATTATGTCATTAATATCGGTAATAAATTTAGCCAATGATATCAATTCATGTTGTGTTACATAATTGAATAATGTATGAATGAGTTTGGTCTTTCATAATAATATCTGCACATATGTTTTTGCCTACTATTGAGAATTGGTCGATGTGTACATGTAAACAGATAATGAAATTCGTCGCCAATTTCTCTTAAATAACATAAACTACATATGAGATTATTGAAAACCTGTACATTCAGGAAAGCATCTTTAACATAGTTTTGTTGTACGTAATAAACTCATTAATGCAGTAAATAATGTTATCACTGAGGTATCTTCCTTTGTATGATGAAGGTGTCTTTGATAACACTTCATGAACTTTATATGGTCCTGTAAAGAAGGACATTGACATATCTGTGCTGACAAATTAGTTTGACCAGTCAAATCATGAGGAATATTAATCGCGTTCATCTTATTTTTGTTATTATTATTCCTTTTATTCTCCTCCTCTCCTCCTCCTCCTCCTCTTCCTCCTCATTCTCATCATCATCTTCTTCTTGATTATATTGTAATATTGCGGTTATTATGGCATGTTGTTGCTAAGGAAAACAAAACGCTGAATGTATGTGCTTGTGCAATATCTAGATAATTTAATGTTTTAACATTAATATATATCTATTTCTATGTGATTCCTTAGGAATCTTTATCAATCAATTTTCTTTTTATTCCTTACTAAGTAACAGCTCGTTGTCAATGTCATTTACTATCAATCAAATAATGTATATCTGTAGTATTTGTTCTATTAGTTTAATGATGCTTTGTCCGTCTCATCAATGATGTGTGTAAATGTCCATGTAAATTGCTGCAACTGCACAAGAGGAGAGGAATTAATATAAGCTTATAGCTTGTTTTCCGATACTCGTTGTATCTGCACTGTATTGTTATGCAGTGTGCAAAAGATGAAATAAAATATTGTTTAAAAAAAAATAAAAAAAAATATGGTAAAATGCAGGATTTTTTTCTGAAAACTGAGCGGTGTATTTGCGTGAGAAAAATGAGATATATCAATTATTTGTATGAGAAAATCATCTCTAAAACATTTAACAGTGTACAGATTAAAATGAAATGAAATAACAAACAAAGACTCGAAGTATAGTGCAGGTAAAATGAGTCCTTTCCGTTTTAAAATACAGGTAATACAAATAAATAGATACAGTTTAAAATAAGGAACTCATATTGATGTGGTAGAAAAAGGTCCCCAAACCCGTGATGGCTGGTTATTAAATATCTAACTTTTATTAGTTAGATTTGAAATTGTAAATGACACTGGGTATACATAGTGTCTTTATACAATCTGACGCAATGATGCAATCAGTTACATTGAATACTATGGTCTAATTTCTGTGTTTGGGGCTATATTAAGAATTCCATAGTACGTACTAGTTTTCGTGTCTAATATTATACACAGCATTTGATAATGATAATGTATAAAGTTAATACAACAAAGACTCGATTTGTTTTCTTAATCATTTTATTCCGTGCTGCATTGTGTACAATAGAATGTATGTTGATGATTATGATCATGTTTTATAATAAATCTTATAAGATTGGTATCATTCAAAACTTACTGAAATACACGACTTTGAATAACATCACATGTTCTACACATGATTGAATGGAAATATATACGATAGTTATTCTGAAGAAAGAATGATAAACACATCGATGATAAACACATCGAGAGCTAGCCGGTGAATAACCTTGAATTTTATAGCCCCAATTTATATTCGGATTATTCTCAACCCTAGGACTTGAAATGTTTGACATTATCAGTAAGAACTTATGATTTGTCAAGCATATTAACATACAAAAGCCAAACATAACGATTTGGTTGCACATGATTTCAGTGGTATCTTATGAGATGCGTAGAGTGCAGAAAAAAACCATGGAGGAAAGTTCGTTATTATAAAACATCCTTTTCGGACTTAATGATCCCTGTCACACTGCAGGCAAAACACTAGAGAGTTCCACCTATGTTTTGAGCATATAGAGTAGCCTCCCTTAAATTTCGGTTTGGTAATAACTGTGGCGCAATTGGGCCGGAACACTTCCGTTGACTTGGTAGCCCAGTTGGTGAGAGTGACAAAGTAACAATCTGAGGTCAAGGGTTCTATTCCTGGTCTCGCCGCACTAATTTTTATACTCAAAGCACCTCCGTTGGTAATAATTTGTTTAGTTTGTTTGTTTTTTAATCATAAAAGTCCAGCAGGGTATCCTTTCAACACACGGTTTATCAAAAATATTATAATGCCACAATGAACAGGTTCCAACGCAAAGTTAAAGATATTGGCAGTGGTACGGGGATCCTTTATGTTAACGGGAGACGTTAGTTGGCTTCGTGACACATATTGATCGATTAAAAGCTGGAGTTCGCAGTGAGCATGGCAATACCTGTTTTATCGATACAATTGGTAGAAAGTGCATTTAAGCGTTTTAAATTCCTTAGTTAAATTATGTAAAAAAAAGTTTCAAAAATAGTTTTCCTTGATTAAGGTCATAAGTCAAAATCCTGTTTGGCCTACCTGTGTTTACCTGGTACCCCATCTCTTTTTACTCATCTGATATTACATACAATAATATAGGGGGAACCCTACACGGATGCACGAATACTAATTAGCCCGACCACAACTTTAATACCGGTCTTCGTCTACCACCTATTTAAGCTTACCTTGTTTCTTTTCAGATTCATTTTTTTACCTTAAAATCATTCATACAATAGTACTATTGAAAACATGTCACGTTTTGCTATACAATAATAAAATAAAATTTAGACGCATAATTATATGACATATAATGAAAATAATTCTGTGTGAAATAAAGCGATCGTCTATTTATGCAAAATAACATGACAATCGATCCCAAATCCAAGGAATTCCTTTAACTGGAGGATGGCACTTTTTGAATCTTTATTATACATGATATTGTTGAGCTTGCACTAGAAACATGAAAGGCGGTCTAAACCTACTCTTAAACGTATGCAGAGGTACACGAAGATACTTAAATTAACAGTCAACCTGAGTACGATAAATGATACCGTGAATGAATGTGAAAAACATCACACAAAGATGTAAAGAATAAGATCACCTTAACTCCGTCACTTGAATTAAGTGTTTTTGTCAAACGTCAATCGCATGCAACATTTATACAGATATCTATCCAGAATGCCGAAATCAATAAGACACACATTTTTACGGATACTTGTTTGTTTGTTTGTTTGTGAGAATAATGTCATCAATTTTTGAGAAAACGACATAATTTTCTCACACAAACCCATGACGTAACAATCAATACCTGCTCCCAAGAGAAGATAACTCTGCGATACGCAAAGACGGAATACAGAGAGCTGAAATCAATAAGACACATTTACGATTACAAATAAATTACATTTTAGTGATTTTTACAATAATTTTATACCGACGGAGAGATGGCATCGTCTAAAAATGCCAATAAATGAAAAACTAATCTTACTTGCTTTCCTACAAGATGAACATTTATTTTTGAATCATAAAAAAATGCAATATATGTAATAATTTCATTTTTGTTCCATTAAATACTCCATTCATAGTCACAAGTGTGATAGAATAGTTCTTTGTTTTCATTTGAGCTTCGTACTTATGACAATAATGGCTTTTTGTCACTTACGTGAAAATTTACACAGGTATATGGTTTATCAACTTAATTGGAAACCATTTAATATCAATTCAACGGCAACCATTAAATATCAGTTTAACAGCGATCACTTATATTAGTTTAATGGCAACCATTACATATCAATGATAGGGCAACCACTTATATCAATTTAATGGCAACCATTAAATATCCATTAAATGGCAACCACTTACATAGACGATCTGTCATTCGTTTCCCTTCATATTTGATCTATGATACAAGTTTTGGATTTTTCATGTTTGCGAGCCTCCGGCAAGAATCATCAATCTAATATGAAGGGAAACAAATGACAGATTCTTTTTATCAAATAATACAAAATAAACTGTATAATTGTTATCTGAAACAAATATTTTGCACTTGGCCGCCTCTGAAACGATGAAAATTGCGTCCGCTTCACAATGACGTGACGTCACATTGATTATTCCTTTTTTATTGTGACGTCATTACTGGAGTGATTTATCACATAATGTACTGTGCTAGTCACTGAATATACCAATGTCATATTTGTTTGCGTATTAACCCATGTAATATGACCTATCGGCCCTGTGATTGGCTGTAAGTTTCAACTGTTTTCATTGTGACGTCACGCCTGGGACAATCACATGACGTCCCAGACTTCCGTAAGGAGTCAAACTGGCGGCTTTTTACATTTCGAGGTTGCATGAAAATTGTCCAGTTTCACGAATAAATGCCGCATATCTTGATTATGTGATAAAAAGGATCTTACACTCGTTTTCATTTCAAATGAAATTTATAAAACTCGTCACGAATTTTTCATTTTAGCTCGCCAGAGGCTCGATAAATTGAAAGATTCTTAGTCTCGTTTCATAAATCTCATATGAAATGGAAACTCATGTAAAAACCTACATTTGTGCGATGGTTTATGACACTGCATAACACAGTATTTATATGATAAATCAATTTAATGGCAACCATTAAATATCAACTTATAGACAACTATTAAGTAGCAATTAAAGGGCAACAATGGAATATCAAATTAATGGCAACCATTTAATATCAACTTTACGGCAACATTAGATATCAACTTGTAAAGACAACCATTAGATAACAACTTGTAAAGACAACCATTAGATAACAATATAACAGCTATCAGTCATATTGAATAAATGGACACCACTAATATCAACTTTACGGCAACTATGTGATGTCAATGGAACTGCAACCATTAAATATCGACTTAAGGTAAACCATTGAATATCGCCTTTACATCTTACATTAAATATCAACTAAATGGCAACCACTTACAATCCCCTACTTCATCACTTACACCCAGCAGAGTATTTTCATTTGGTGAGATTTTAAGGCATAAAACCTATTAAACGCGAACAACAAATGCTAACATATTTCATAGAATCGCTTGAAGAATGTACTTGTCTTTAAGTTCTCTATTATTTCTGTTTTCATTTTCATAGATATACGGATTCTAACAATTCTGCATATAAATGCTAATGATTGTAATAAGTGAAGATGTCTCGTCCAAGAATATATGAATGCGTTGTCACCAAGCCGCCATGTTCTTCATGAAATCGTCCACAGCAATCTCATTGGATTTAGCCTTCAGCTTTCCTCGTACCCGGTCGAACATTTCCTTTTCCTCCTTTGCTATAATGGCTTTCCGTTTTTCACAAACTTGCTGGATCTGTGTATACCAGAACAATAAATCGTTCGTTTAAATCTGACAGTGCATTAAAACGATATCTTAACCGTTATGCAATTTCAATAGCATATCATTTATAATGTATTTTCGTCAAAGGGAGACAACGTCTATCAACATCAAATAATGGTATTATAATATCTTAGTACAATTTTGAAACTCCAAAGTTTTTAAATCGATTTAACAAATTTTGTTCTTTGTAGTTTGTTCATATTGGATTAATAGAATCTTTCACCCCCTTGCAGGTGAGACAGGGTAATCTCAACCCGAGGGGTAAGATTCTTAAATTGTCAAACATGAGGCTTGCCGAGTGTTTGACAGCTTAAGAATCTTACCCCGAGGGTTGAGATCACCCTGTCTCACTCCCAAGGGGGTGAATGATTATTTTTCTCTTACCCTGTTTACCCTCTTATGTATTTTATATCGTCGTTACATCAATGCAAGACAATGTTGATGTGATGCGGCTGAATTGTCGACCTGGCGTCATTGTATTGTTGCCGTGACGTCATGGTATTGTTGCTATGGCGTCATACAATTGTTGAGAACGTGCAAAGTACATGTGTAGCTTGTCTCAACCCTAGGGTGAGATAAGAAAAGCTCACACCGGTAAAATGGTGGATATCCCTGTCCAGGGTAAGAGAAAAAATAATCCATATGTTAAGTTAGTATGCTGTTACTGCCTTTTGATTATCACAAAAATAAACCTATACAGTATTTGTTACCCATTTGTGGAAAGCGGCGACATTTGTGCTGGACTCTCGGATATCCTTGTAAGAATATTGCTCAAGGATATTGTCTACTGTAACCAGGATGCTCGGGTTTAGAGATCCTACTCGCAGATTGTCTATTCTGTTGAGTAAGCTGTCGGCTCCCTTTTTGTGCAGATGTGGTAATATCTTGTCCCACCCCTGTAATGGTAAATAGGATGTATAATTATATGTACAAAGTAGTTGATTAATGGTAAACAGTATATATATATACAAAGTAATTGATTAATGGTAAACAGTATACATAAATACAAAGTAATTGATTAATGGTACACAGTATATATATACAAAGTAATTGATCAATAGTAACTTGTAAATATAAATACAAAGTAATTGATTAATGGTAAAGAGTTTATATAAATACGAAATAATTGATTAATAGTAAATTGTAAATAAACATAGAAGTAATTGATTAATGGTCAATTGTAAATATAAATACGAAGTAATTGATTAATGGTAAAGAGTATATATATACAAAGTAACTGATTAATGGTAAATTGTAAATATAAATACAAAGTAATTGATTAATGGTCAATTGTAAATATAAATACGAAGTAATTGATTAATGGTAAAGAGTATACATAAATACAAAGTAATTGATTAATGGTAAATTGTAAATAAACCTGGAAATAATTGATTAATGGTCAATTGTAAATATAAATACGAAGTAATTGATTAATGGTAAAGAGTATATTTATACAAAGTAATTGGTCAATGGTAAATTGTAAATATAAATACAAAGTAATTGATTAATGGTAAACAGCATATATATACAAAGTTATTGATTAATGGTCAATTGTAAATATAAATACGAAGTAATAGATTAATGGTAAAGAGTATACATAAATACAAAGTAATTGATTAATGATAAATTGTAAATATAAATACGAAGTAATTGATTAATGGTAAAGAGTATATATAAATACAAAGTAATTGATTAATGGTAAATTGTATATAAGAATACAAAGTAATTGATTAATGGCAAAGAGTATATATAAATACAAAGTAATTGATTAATGGCAAATTGTATATATATACAAAGTAAATGATCAATGGTAAATAATATATATATATATATAATTGATTAATGGTAAATAAATTATGTAAATAATATATTTTAACGACCAATGTTGAGAACACAATACACTTATACACGTCGGATGTCAATAATTATTGGTTTGTGTAATAGTATTTAATGGTTAATGACCTATAGTGAAAGAGCATGTCAAATCCCTAATGGTTAATGCTCTTTGTTATTTGGTAATATACAAAGAGCACGTCAATCGATAATGTTAATGGACAATATACAAAGAGGTCATCCATAACTAAACCTCTTAAGGATATTTAGTTGAAATAAACCATTACCCCATCCTACTAATTTTTTAATATTCATATATTTTGTTTTTGTTTGTTAATTCATTTAATCATTCATTTCCCTTCTGTTTCAACATTAATTTAATAGACAAAAGCTTTTTCGTTCCTGAACCACCGACAAGTTCTAGAAGGGATGAAACATTTTAACATTGTGTTTTACGTTCATCTTTACCATACAAAGAGTGCAACAGTAGTGTTAAATGTTTAAAACTGCGTCTTACTCTGTTTGTTTTAATGATAATCATTAAAAAGTAAGTTGGTAGTCTTGATAGCATCTGGAATATCATGTTTATACGTTCCCAAAAAGTGGTCTCTGGACAGGTCCTTTGAATACCCCTGATGTTAGTGCAGCCCGAAAATGAATGTTTCCCCTTCCTCATGTAACCATTTGTTCTCTGTTTGGAATAATGCTTAACGTTCAGTTAATATTCTCTTCATTTAACTCCATATTATGATATTTTACTTAATAATCTGTACGAGAGAAATTATCAACGGCATTTTAGAAGTCCATCTATATATATATTCTATTGGTAGACCTTGAGGAAGCTGAAGAGTAGTTGCCTTGTACTAATCCATAGTAACTCATCATGAAAGGTATGTTTCACTATGTGTCTCTTCCATGTCGATTCCACTATGTATCCGGTATTTATATGGAATAATGTTTTCAATTTATTTCACTACTGTTCCATATTGACATAATGGTAAAGATACTATAAGCACTGTTATTGTCTTTCTAATGATAGGCGACCGAACTTTTTAGGGTTTGTTGTAAAGGTTCCCATCATCACTTTTAATTTGTCTCGGATTGAAGCGAAAATATCTCCAGAAAGTTATTTTTGGATTCTGTTTTTAGCTGTTAATTGATATGATCATCCCTGTTATTTGATAAGAACCATATTGTATTTCCTCGTGCGACATGAATTTCGACAATTTTTATATTTCGTTAATTTATTGTGCCTTGTTTGTTTGTCACTTCCGCGGTTCTCTGTTTTAAAAAGCGATATTATTTTGATTTGACATTTACTTAGGCGACTGATGTCTTCCTTTTGTTGATATTGTGCATTGGTTTTAATATTTTTTTATTTTGAGTGCAAATGGCGGCTGTTTTCATAACACTCAGGTAATCTCCTGTTTCCTTTGTTAGTGTTTTCGCATTATATCAGAAAAATAAGAGAGAGACACACACACTCGAGTACATGTTTCTATATCAAATGGTTAATAGATTATTAAAAGGTTAATTATTATTATTATTTGATTCTGAACTGCCCATCAACACAAAAGAGGTCCAATAAAAGGACGTTAATATTTAACGCTATTTCATGCTTTGCAGTTTGAATAAAAGTACGTAAATGTTAATTGAAACTAGATTTTAAAGACAATATTATGGGGAAGAAAGATTTCATGAAGATGTGCATTGGAGGAAAATGATATACAGAAATGTGTACCCATATCTATAACATCAAGCATTAGTTACAACCGAAAAGGAATAAAAACGGTTAATATAGAGAGATATTTTAAATGTATGGTGCATTATTTTTACCGTTATCTCCTCCGCGTCCTCCCCCAGAAGTATGACGACTACGCGCATCACGTCCACAACAATAGGCTTCGGTCGGATAAATGTTTTCATCTCTGCCAGAATGTCCCTGTCCAACTTCCGAATATGAAAATTAAATCCGGCAAGCTTGTTAAGGTTGGCAAGAGTATTCTCCGCCTCCGTTATCTCATTCCGGAGTTCCGGGGCGTAGTCCGACGCTTTGCCCTTGGCAAGCATGACTTTGATCGTCTCCGGGTGTCTCCGTTTGATAGCAACACGCAGTCCTATCAAACAGAAAGAAAAGATTATCTTCCTTTTAGATCAAAATAATGGTGATTGGATAAATAGTTAACGCAATCCATATAACAGGAATGATGATTGGATAAACAATTGTTCAACCCAGATAACAGTGATGGTGAACGGCTAAACAAACTTCCCCAATCCATGTAACAGTGGTGGTGATTGGCTAAAGAAGTGATCCCAAATCCATGTAACAGTGATGTTGATTGGCTAAAGAAATTACCTCACTACATGTAACGGTGACGGCGATTGACTGAAAAAATTACCCCAATCTAGATAACAGTGATTGTGATGATAAAAAATGCCAATATCATATGACAGTGATAGTGATATGACAAAACAAACAAGGCCCGAAACGTCTTTATTATCGATATAAATCCAATTAACATCAGTATGTTTCATTAAGAAAAAAGAACCCATGTGAATAAAACATAATATCATAATAGCATTAAATGCATGCAATGAGAATCGTTTATTGGATGTCTTAAATGATATTAGGCAATCTGAACACAGCTAATGCTAGCACTATGTTATTTGACACCGGGACTTAACATGTCCATAAAAGTTTTTGAAAATAACTTTTAAAATACCTATATTTTTATTTGCGAAATACTAATCCGTAAGCAATCCTGATTCCTATCACAGAGGAATACCTTTCTGAATCGTGAAGAACTCCAGTCTTTTCTTTGCAAGTTTTACTTCTCCCTCGTCCGGAATGAGATGCATCTCAAAGTCATCCAAAGCTGTCTGAATTTCTGTCTCATTGCCATACAGAATTGCCTTCTGAAGTCTTTCTCGTAGCATCCGCTTCGAGTATTTCTTTATTTGAAAAAAAAGCCAAACGTTTATATGTAGTGAGAGGATAACAGATTAGTGATTATCAGTCATTGATTTATATACAATAGCACGTTCTCTTATATATACTTATAGATTCAGTTAAAATGTCCAAACAAAACTTACAAAGCTCAATTAAACATTTAAAGAATGAAAGAACGAAAGTATACATATAAAAATATACATAATTCTATATACTTCATAGAAGAACGAGAGCACTCTTGCATGAGGACACTAAATTGTAAAGAAGCTGCCCCCAGGGCTCCCCAGCCTCAGCAGCCTTCTGATATATTTGATGGGGAAATAAAATTGATATTTGAAAAAATAATTAAATTTATCATTTGATATAAGCCACCTTTCGGTACAGTAACAATATAACCTTGCCAACTTTAGATGATATTCATTTCAGCTATGAAGGCCATGGTCGATGTGATGACGTAATCACTATTATAACGTCATAACCGTTACGTTTGACTACCCCAGAGATTGGCCGCTGCATCTAATTAACAAGTCTACACAACACATATAACCATAGAACTTAATGCTAAATTGTTATATAAACGCTATTTAATTTTCTATGAGATGATAATATTTTCAAGACGGTAAATAGCAATACTGAAACGCGTCCATTAATTTTACTGTTCAGCACTGACAAAAGAAATGTGACTGTATGGAAGCGGTTAAAGCTACAGTGGTATGGGAGAAGCATCAAGATACGATCGTTTACAATCGTATTCATAATGCATGAATAGACCCCCTTGTCACAAAACAAAATCATCAATTAGTATGAGTTTGCATATTCAAAACAACTTGTTAAGTGACGTACAGTGCCTGGCAAATGACCGTTATGACTGCTATTGTTTACATCTCAATGCTGAAGCATTATGATCCTATAATACAAACTACACTTCTTACATTAAGTTACCGATAATTTCTTAGATAAAAATGGACGGAGAATTTCAATTTTAATTAATATCCCAATACTCACATCATCTTTGATTTCGTTGAATGGACTCTTCACATCTTTTTTGCCATAGATGAGCAGATAGTTACAAATGTTCTTAAATCCCTGTTCGCCCTTTTTCTTAGCAAAGAGCTTTAGTGCAAACTGGCCTTTCCCTGGGAGGAGGATTCGAACATACATGGTATCTCCAACAATGATGTGCCTTGTCTTATCTTCCAGATCTTCTGATTTGAAATTTGGATTGCGCAGTTTAGTTTGAATTTTTATTGTGTGAAGGTCAATAGTGCCGAAGAGCTCGAATTGCATCGTCATTTCCTCACCGGTCTCCAGAAATACACGACCATCTGTGTGGCTCAGGGGCTTTATCCCATACACAGCCATATACGGGTTTGGTCCCCACCCCACTTCCGGTACTACAGGAAGTGCCGGCACAGTCTGGGATTCTCCTTCCTTCTCTATTTTGAATTTGCAGATAGACTCTAACTGTGTAACATCCGGTGAAACGTCATTAAAATTAATGAGATCGCCTAAAATTTCACATGTGTACACTCCTGTCACCGGAAGTTCAATTTCAAAAATGAATCTAGAGTACCCATAATGGAGGTACACATACCGTTCGAGGTGGGTGGGGAATTTCGTGGGGTCAATCTCTTTATCAGGGTAAGGAGCTTCCGTTGCTCCATGTGCCGGCGTCTCTGATTTCTTAAACGCATTATCTATCATTTTCTTAATTGTCTCTGGATTTCTGGGCGTGAACATGGCTTTGTGGGGGACATGCTTCGAGCTTACTAGTGAACTGCCAAACACAAGCTTACTCGGTTTTTCCTCCCGTGGAATCCCAGAGCTGTACCTGGGTAGCTTTTTCAACTTAAGGTTGACCTTTGAGCTGTTTATACTTCCAGGGCTTTGTTTATTCTTTTCTTTCTTTTCATCCTCATCAGGAAGTCCCTGTTTCATAAGGGCTTTTTTCAGTCCACCATTCATAAGCGGTGCTTTAATTTCTGGTTCCACATCCCCGTTGGTTTCGTGTAAATTACCATTCATCTTGGGTGACTCATCATCAGTTTCTTTTAGCGATTTTCCATCAGTGTCGCCATCACTATCATTAGTTTTTTTCTGTTCTTTAGCCAGTCCACCGAACCCGCCATCGCTCCTTATTAACGGTTTTTTGAAAATCTGGTTACCGAACATTTGCTGAAGCAAAAAAGCCGGGTCTGACAAATCCTCCTTCAGATCAACAGTCGATTGATAAGGACTGATTGGCAAAGAGTCGTTTGATATGGTGTCCTCCTTCTCCACGAACTCCTTCACTTTCTGTCCCGTGACCTTGTAATGCAGTAATATTTTGTCCATCATTTCGGAAGGAGCTGATATTTCTATGACAACAGTCTCGTTCCTAATTTTCAGTTCAGGCGTCTTTGGTTTCGCCACGATCAATCCCATAGCAAAGAAGTTTGGTTTACAAAACGGTGACCCGGAGAAATCTTTCCAGATAACTGGGTCCTCAGAAAGTTGCCAGCGAGTTTCAGACGGGAAGCAAAAGTGGATGAAGTTAGAAGGATCCGTAAGAAAGAAGAAGCTTCTATTCTGGGTTTTTTAAGAAAGAAAAAAACAATAAAAATAATGCAAGCGGAACATTTCAGGAAGTGCTTCATTAACAGGGAAGTAATCAGCATAAATATATGATCTATAAAAATTGTAAAAACAAAGTATTGGAATAAGAAGTTTGAAAGGATATTGACATTAATTTTGCAACAGAGATAAGTATGGGGTAGCAAAGTGCAGTTGTATTTTGTTTTTTCGATCAAGAATTCCAACATTTATATATATAAATAGGTAAGAAGTATATTTGTATTGTATTAATAAGCAAGAAAATTAGATAGAAAGTCTCAGAGCCTACGAAAGAGTGCAATGAAAAAAAGTTCCATTTTGTTTGGTATTTCTTTATTTTTACTCGGAGTTTCCTCTCCTTAAAAACAGTAGCAATTAAGTTAAATGCGAAAGAAAAGATTCACCATAATATCTCTCCATCCTCAAATAAATGAATAAAGAAAGAAAGAAAAAGAAACAAACATACAACTAAATAAAATGAAATATGGGTTAGCAAATTCCTGATTTCTGAATAATATAGCAGAAAGTTGCACTGCTGGTTATGTTATTTGCTAAATAAATTCAAAACGTTCTAATTCCTTTAAAAGGGTACATCTTTAAATATCGTCATATAAAAACAGTGGAAACAACATATCTTAACCGGAATATAACTTTTCAATGCCCGGATACAGTAGACAAAAAATAGAATTCTTTACCAAAACGTTTCCAAAGTGAGACAGTAGTCTGATGTAGTAAGACATGGAGTACAATGTAATACCTTTTGGGGGGCAGTGGACCCTAGCCCAGGATGTATAAATCTCCACTCTCCTTCCAAATAAACATAGTTCCAGTGATCCGCGGAGAACTTAGCCTCGCTCTGAAGACAACCGGGAACAAATCGGTCCATTTTTGTAAATCCTTCCGCAAGCATACATGGTAAATCAAGTTTTCTAAAATAAAATATGACGAATTTATTTGGCATATATCTTCCCGGCGAAATAACCGCGAATCTAATTTATATCCTTTTCGTAAAATATACTTTGCCTTTAACAATAGTTATTTTTCAGAAAGAGAAAATACATTTCCTTCTACTTCGATTCAAATCGGATGTTTTTCGCAACAATGATTATAATAATAAAATGAGAGGCAAATACGAAAAATATTCCGTTCAATATCTCAGCTAAAGTGTTACAAGGGAGGGACATACCTGCATACGATATTAAACAAAAGTTGCATATCCAATTTGCCGGAAATGACGTCGTTTAGGTCTCTATGGGGTGTGTCAACACTGGATGATCCACTTAATTGAGGGCTGGAGGGGTCAAAGTTGACCAACCACAGGTAAATGGACCACACAGACTCCACAGGACTCCCTGACCTGCCTGTCAGGTGTTCTATCAATCTGTTGTAGCTCAACAGCTCGTCTTTGCTTACCTGAAGAATTATGTCTGATGTTTATTTAACTCCAGCTCCTCAATATACACATGATGAAGTATACGATTTGGTTCACTTAATATCTGTATCCGAACATTATTTTTATTTTTTTGGAAAAAGAAAAGGTTTTGGGGTATTTAAGATTTCAGTACATAAGATTTATACGCGATAACACATGTACACCATATAAGCAAATCCAATTTGTATATGGTGCAGCACAATGTACGTGACTATATCACTACTCGAAGAGAGGTTTGCTGTTCTGCTCCTGGTGGAAACTTATAGAATGCAGCTTTGTTCTTGTTAATATTTTCATTTCAATCACCATCTCAATACTTCAATAAAGTGCACATTTGTTTAATATCAAAGCAAAGGAAAAGAAATCATCGATGCAAATACGATGCATCATATGCATACCCTTCCGGAATTCCTGGTCTTATTCTTCTTGTACATTGTTAAAGGGTTTCCACGTATGTAAATCTTTCTTTTGTTTATAGTTTGCCCTACTTTTATTTTTTAATATTGTTTTGTTGACGCTTTGGTATTCTGTTGTTGTTTTTATATAAGAGATGAGAAACTTTAACTATAGGTTAACAGCCAGCTCTATCTAACTATACCTACTGAAAGTACACGTTTGTAAACTGCCTGCATTTTGCGCGGAGCAAAAATGTCCCTCCTCCGGATCTTGGTAGGTTGTATGGGTGGCATCTTACTCATATCTTTCTTCACCTCTTTGTCAATTAGCCCGCTGCGCTTGAATCTATCCAGGGACTAGTAGATAATAGCAGAAAAATGTATTTTAAAAACGGGCACTGAAAGCTTGTCATTTTAAATGTTCTTAGTTTAAAATGCTGTATCATTTGCATTGATTGAGATTTATTCAATCATAAATAAAGAAAACTAAACCGATATGATGATATAGATTTGGGAAATCAACTCACTTCAGAAGATAATAGATGAAGACCGTTATTGGGTACTGCTCAACTCAAATGTTTCGCGATTATTTATTTTTTGCTAAACTAGAATTACATAAAATATGTTAATAAAAACTGAGTCATTATCATCTTGATAGAAGTAAATGAGGAATGTTAACTTATTTCGTTGTAGTGCGAAAGTTAAGTCCCATCGAAATTGTGTCAAAAACAAAAACCGTGATATTTTAACCTCGCTAAATTTAAACATCTTACATCTTCCTAACTGTTATAAAGGTCCCACAATATTATTTATTCTAAATTACTTTTTAAAAATTTGTGAAATTCTGAGCATCAGGTTAAGTCATCGTATATATGCAATATTCAGGAATACCTTCATGGTCAATCTGAGGACCCTGGCGTTCAACTGCGTCGGCTCCACCGCCGGTTCAGGCTCCGGTTCTTTTTTAGTTTGACCGCTACCCATTGTTCGAGGTGGTATAATACATCACCTCATCGTGTAGGCGGGGTCATTGGTTCGTCCATGTAAGGATTTCTACTCCAAAAATCTTCATCTAAAAAACAGTGGATGATCCGGGTCAATAATAAACAATAAAACAACAAATCGTCAAAATAGAAATACAAATAACAACTTAATTTATTTATATATGTCATTTAATGAGTTTTATGACAGCCTCATTCTGACTAATTGGTTCCTTTGTTTTAATTTAGGTTTCGTCTTCGTTTTGAATTTAGACAATACATCGAGGTCAAGAAACAACCCTCTTTATCAATTATCAAATTCATGTTTAAATACGAATATGCAGCAGTAAACAAAAAATCATATTTGAGGTAAATATAAAAGCGATACTAGACCTTGTATCGTATAGATATAAGTGTTTATCACACTAATGCTTTCTGATAATTCACAAAACTGCAATAGATGTAACTATCATTTGTGAAAGCAAATTAAAAAATTGAGCGCCCTAAACATAAGAAAGTTTATTTATAATTTGCCCTGAGCCTTAAATGCCATTTTATCCGGACATTCCTTATATCTGCCGTCACGCTATTCACGGGGTTGATTTCCATCAAGTAAAAGGTACAAATAATATGTACCAACAACTCCACGAGTGATTTATGATACATCTATGTTTCACGATCAATGTTAAAGTGCAAAAATGTCTCTTCGATCGACTTGGCTGTTCGCCCTGACTACAATCATTTGCTCTACAAAATAAAACATCAACATAACTCCAGAATGCCAAACAAAGATATAATAATACATATGCTTAATCAAAAGAGTCGCTCAATAGGCTTTTTGTGCATTTGTATAAATTCACGACAAACTCCTATCACAAATGCGGACCTATCAGGTCATTGATCAAAGTGTGGCCTATATATTTTGTATCTTGACCTTAGGAAACCGTGACCTTTTTACTGATGGTATCACACCTTTTTATTAGGGGGCTGTAATACTGGATATATAACCACCTAATAAAATCTTTCTGTTATTTTAAATGGGAAGTACCGTTATACAAAGGACAAACGATGATTGATACACTTGAATTACATAAACCAGTGGAAACCCGCTGGCCAGTACACGCATTAAGTAATTAAACAAATGAGGGTAAATCCTCCGTCTCAATCTACTGTCATGGTAATTAAAGTTGTATTTAAACATAAAAACTAGTGCTGATGATGAAAGACTTTTTTTCAGGTTATATCGTTTAACCTAAACATTCAACAGAAAAAGTGATGACGTCGAACATCGCATGCTTTTGATTGGTTGAAGTTAATCGGATGCTGAAATTTCAGCTCAATGTAGTATTTTGTGGAAAAAATATTTTGCTTTTAATCAAAAATAATATAATATTAATTAACCAGAAACTAGAAAGTGTAAGCTGTCTTTTTATATTAAATTATAAGGAAACGCCATGATTATTTTGAGGTTATATGTTATAGGTCGAAAAATGGTGATTTATGCCCTAAATGCACTATTTTTGCCATATACTGTGTCAATACGAAAATAAGCATGGCTATTCCTTTACAAACATATAAAAAAAAATATAAAGGAAACAGATCTTTAAAACGTAATACATAAATATTGATATTTGATATTACCGATTTCAAACTCCTTGAACGAAGATGACAGTAAACATAATGCACAAAGTCATCACAAGTGTATAAATTAATTGTGTAAACAGTTTCGTTACATGTCTCATCGTTATCCACAAACATCTCAATTTACAATGAATTTTGAATAAAATATCCTTCCAATGTACGAACCGTTCCTGAAAGACAGTTACCGCTGGAGTTTTATGAAAATAAGGATGTGGTAAATCGTAACCTTTAAAGGTGCAACACCTGTGTGTGTCTTATAAAGATCATTCAAGATATCAGTTAGAAGCTCTGATAGTGGATGTTTAATCCCCGGGGCCTTCACGTAATCTTGGTAGTCACAGCAATCTCATGAATCCTGGCATATATAAACACTTTACTCATTATTTACTTTAAAATTAAACTATATTTACTCTGATTTTGAAATTCATAACATTAAGGGGGTTCACGTACCAGCCATTATGTTTCAACAGTAGATTAGAACCAATTTGGATTTCCACCGTTTTGGTCCCAAGCATCGCCCATGAGTCTTTGAAGGATGCAACACCGTGTAGTGCATTTCATTACCAAATTTTGAGGATGGTAGTTCCTATGTGTGTCTTACGCTCAACTTAATATATACTATATGAAGGTAGTACGTAGTGGAGTACAATTGGTCAGTAGTATTTCCATTCAAAGATGTTAAACATACGTATTTTACTGAAATGTTTCTATCTAACAGCTAATGACATATTGTTAAATATGTCACAGGCGTTACTATTAGTTTTCTACTTCAACTGATATTTGGTGATACCCCTGAAATAAGAAATAAGAAACACCACAAATGTACCATACCCGAGTTGATGTTGAACTTCACGTCGATACGAAAGGAAAAAGAAAAGGAACCGCGGGAAAGCGAAATCAAAGAGAAATCAACAACACGAACTGAGAAGACAAAAAACAAAAGGAACGACAACAATAGAAAAACAACAGTAAGACCTCAGGGGACACCGAAACAAAAGGAAAGACAAAAACAGTAAATGCGGAGACTCCGAAACAAAAAGAAGGAACAACAACAGGAACTACGGAAACGCCTAAGCTAAAAGGAAAACAACAAGGGGAACTGCGGAGACACCAAAATAAAGGAAAAACAACTGGACATAAGAAAACATTGAAACAGAGGAAACAAAACAGCAGAAACGAAGGAAATGCCGAAACAAAAGAAAAGACAACAAAAAATACTGAGGAGACATCGCAACAGAGGAAAAGGCATCAACAAGAACTGTGGAAACTGATAAGATGCGAAAACAAAACAAAAGACAACAAAAGGAACAAAGTTGACATCGTCATAAAAGATAACACAACAACAGGAACTGATGGAAAACTCCAAAACAAAAGAGAAGACATCACGAACCACTACAACTACTACGTTTGGTTGAATTGGAGATCATATTTTATCATTACCTCCCCCTTATCAACTAATGACAACATGGTAGATTCGCAAAACAAGACAGTTTGAATAGTTACATTAAGTTCAAGAAATAACAAGAACATGCCTATTAATTCCTTTGTAAAATATCTAGCAACGAGTTAGCTGCTAATGTTATGACTGACGCTTTACAGGAGGATTTCTATTATTCACTTTTATCTTTTATCTTACTTACACACATATCTTCGATCCTTCAGTACCATATTCATCATCATCTATTAAATTTCACTGTTTCTACAGTGTTACTTAAAAGAGCGCCTCTGTAACGGATAATAATTAACTTTTTACCATCGGTAAGGAACAATAATATGGCAATTTGCCGGAATGTTCTCTAACTATTTTTTAAATCGGAAATGACGTCAATTTCGCGATGCTGGCGCTTGATACCAAGACAGAACGTTAAATCTAAATTATCTTTCAAATTCAGAAGACGGGGGGACGATAAAAAGTCTTGATGTCTCATTTCACTGTTTCCTGTAGCCAACTGAAAGAAGTTTTCTTTTAACATCAACATTTTTACTGTTTGAATAGAACAATTATATAATAAAACCATGGTATGATACCCCTTCATTCATTTGCCACATAGTTTACCGAAATCATATTTCGATGTTTATTTTCTTTTTTCTTAACCATTCCAATATTCGTCTCCCAATACATCGGCAAACTTCTTTATAGTGCCAAAATGTGGCTGGGCTAATCATAAAACATTACCAAAGATAAAATGTATTCTTAATTTAGACTTTCTATAAACAAATATGCTAGCGTTATAAATGTTTTTGTACTAACCTTTAGAAGTATGTGTTGAAATTTTACATAAAGAAACGCACGGAAAGACACCGATATTTTTTTTTAGTTTTGACAGCCGTTTGAATATATTCATCCATGGATAACGTGTAACTAAGTACATGTAGTTAGCTTGTTCCTATGTGACCACCCACCACTGTCTAATGGACAGTCCGGCTCTATGTCAATGACAGTGTTTTATACGTACCCTATCTAGTAACAGTTTACGCCATCCGTATCCGTATCCATATCCACGACGTAATTCCGTTGCGTTCGTGAAGAGAAGATTTTAGGACTGGGAATGTTGTCAGGCCGCCCTGCTTAATCGTCTGGAAACAATAGTACTATGCTCTGTCTGATATCAATCGTATCCGCTCTTTGGCCACTCATAATAGCCGACAATGGCTAGCTAGCCTGGGTTTAACGTACACCCTGTAACCCTTATAAGAATGTTTATCATTTAATCGCACACAACTGTTCTACATAATGTGTATTGCTCGACTTAAATGTTCCAAACATAAATCACACGTGTCTTAAGACCAGGTGTTTATAATGTTTAATAATTAATATTATTTCTTTATTGCTACCATAAAACATAAAATAATATGCTAATGGCTTTATCCCATATCTTCATATATGTCAGTAGAGAATGTGATATCAATATTTAAACTAAATACATATATGTAGATAAATAGGCGTAGAGGACTAGAAGGGAGCTTCCTTTCCTCTTTTTGTCTAGCGATTATTTAGCGTAACGATGTGGTTGGCTTTGCTGGATGATTTTCCGTCCTCGCGGTTGGCGGTAACCTTGCATCTGGAATGGGGTCTGGCACGTCTTACATGAAATACTGTGTAAGTATTAATGGTATACTGTGGCCAAGAGTGGTGAGTTTGTACATGTAACTATTTGTGGGAGTTTGTAGATACTTTACCCTTTTTGCTGTGTTATTAATATGTCTTGAAACACCCTATACATGAATTTTAAATTCTTTTGGCTTTTAGTGCAAAGGATGGATACGAGAGGACGAGGTGGAAACAGTGTACAATAAAGTGTTACCTTGATTGGCTTTTTACATCTGTAAACAAAACATTTAGATCGATGGTTCTTCCTTTCAAATTTCTATTTTCTCTTACACGTACATATGTATAATAATGTTGCATGCCAGTGTGTTCAATAGAACTTGAAAACTCACAGGGAATCTTACCCCATGGATAGCAGACTATGCGTATGTTACCCAATCAATATAGTGACATTTTCCTCGTTTGGATTCTAAAATGCTGTCCTGTTTTCTGCTAAATTTCTATATTGATTATGATTGGAACAAGTACTGTTATTTCTCCACTACAGAGTAATAGTGATCTAAGTTTCAGCCGTAGCATTGATGAAAAGAAATATTATTTTCATTCGGAACTACATATATTTCAAAATATTAATTTATATTTGATGACACTGACGTTTGCCTTTGCTGCATTAAAATCAATTAAAAAGCGTAGCCTAATGTTCGTTCTCTCCAGTTAAAATTCTCAAGGATCATAGAGGGCAGAAAATCGCAAAAAAAAAGGTCTCTCCACGGAACAGATTACTAAAGATTTGTTTATATTTCACAACTAAATGATACATTTAAAATTGGGATAGAGATACTTCTGGAGATTTAAAACATCTACTCATTATATCCATGGTGTGTCTGCAAAAATAAGACTTGTGCTAAAGATCTAGATGAGTCCCATTCATTGTTTCCACGCGCTATTAGTTGGTGTACGCTAAATAAAAATATTGGGATGTTTTTAAAAATACCCAAAACTCGGCAGCTATATTTACGGTCGTTAAGAATATGAAACGAAACATATGATATTATTGAGAAATTCGTAATATTGTGTATTTGAAATAAACCTTTCAATTCATAAACCTTGTGTGGTTCTATATTAAAATTGTGCAAATACTACTTTATGCTAGTTCTGATTTAGTGCGGCATAGAAACAGCTTATATCCACACGCGCACATACCACAGTCTATCAACAGGATAGCAATCATCGATTATTATCTCTACCCCGTATTAAATCTGTCTATGATAAACAGGTATAACACGTAAATGACGTACAGTAAGACATTAACTCGTTCTATATTAAATGTCCGTATAATGGTATGTAATGTAGACAACTCGTGGTACGATTACAGTCTGATAAAGGAATACCCACGCTTCACTACACTCCAGGTACAAGTATACTGTTACCACGTACCCGGCTACCTCAATAATATGATGTTTGTACCGCCCGAGATGAACAGTATTATCTAATATTGACATGTAGGTTTTTAACTTAACTTCATCTTTTGAGAGTTAATATTCACTTTTTATTATTTCCATTCGTCTGGATTTGAATTTAGAAAGGAAAACAACAGACGTTTTGTTTTTTTGTTTACGTGTTCACATATGCTTGAAATTGATAAGTTTGAGTTTGCGACCAACTCTCTTCTCTGATTTCACCTGCTAAGAACCATCAACGAGCTATCGAAAACAAAACATTCTACACCATGACATCCCCTGGTAAGCAGGAAGTAGAGTGTCAGTTTTGTTAAATCTGTATACGTATACAACAGAACAACCAACTCTGAGTATACAGCGCCTCAATAATTTATCTTTCAAAATAATGTTGCCATAGCGAGTCACAAGTATGTGTGTAACAAATGAGGGATGAATGGGGCCCACGTGACAGCCATATCTTACGGTTGTCTTATAAACCATCTTAGTACCTCATCATATTTTAAGGTCAATTCATAGTTAAAACCAGGACATGGAACTCTAACATTGGAATAAACCAACCAACTTATAGTTGGCAGATGAGCATGGTTCATATTCATACATAGAAGGTTATATGCGTATGCTCAAAATTATGACAGCGATGTACAGAACTCAAAACCTTTGGAACGAAATCCGATCATTTTCCTGACTATGTTATACTTTTTTCGGTATAGCAGTTTAAGGTTGTTTAGGAATTTCTTCGCATTGTTAGCCTAATAGAACAGACGGAAATTTGATCGAGTGTCAAACTGGTTAATAACGCAGTTTATATAAAATGTAGATAATGTATTAAATAGGAAATTGAGATTCTGTCGTTAAACTTGATAAAAATAGTATGCTTACTTGGAAAATTATAGCTTATAGGTAGCTTTTATCCACACAATTACAGATACTGGTACTCAATGAACTTTTATCGTCGTATTGTGCCTCGGTCTATCGCGTACTGTTCATATGTCAAAGATATGTTGTTTCCTTTTGATTCTGTGTCCTCGATTTTACTATTTGTAATCTCCTAGGACTGCAGTCCCGCGGATTAAAAACTGCTGACTGTATCGGATGAATCAAATGTAAGTCACGTATTATTTTTTCGCGCGTGTCTTCAACACCTAACAATGAAGACATATTTTATCGAAACAATGAATTATTCCGAACAAGACATTGTGAGAATTATCCTGCAGGTAGTAGACACGAGAGCTTCAATAAAGAACTAGGATCCGTTAGGCCTACACGGGTACATTTCCAAACGACACAAGTACAGCAGTAAGACTCAACACCACCCATTGTAAGAACAAACACAAAGCATATTTCAATATTTAATGTACAGTTCTATATACATAAGCTATTTAATTTACAGGTAGAATAGTCTATCACAACGTAATATCAGGTTCCTTTTGTCTTATACAAGAAGATTTCATGTCCCTTATATTTCTATAAGATTATTTAACGAATGCCTTTGAATATAAACGAAGCGCATTAAAGCACAGGCGCCTTTTTCTATTGACTTCATAGTAACATTACATCTATCCAAGTAGAAGACGTAACCTTCTCATAGAAAGCGCTAGTTGGCATTGAAATGTATGTGGCGTATGTAAACGTGTGAAGCAGAAAGAAATAGATGGCATGGTCTTGTAAAGAAGACAACAACTATATACTGTATATATTTCTATCCATTGACTTATTAAGCAGCACTATTACCTATAGTGATATCGGTATGGCTCATGATACACATCACAATGAAACTTGTTTTATACAAAACTTGTTATTAATATTTCTAGTAGATGTTATGTAAAATAATCAGTTTTGAGGAATTCCGGTTCACAGCCGTTAATGCATCGCTGGTATAGATGAAGATAATTATAAATGGATTAATTTACAAAATTATGTACGAAAAAATTTAAGTAACGATGAGAGAAAATGATGCAATATTTTTTTCGGGTCTTTCATCTTTGTAAATATGTCTGAATCGCGAAAGAATATATACGATGTCAATTTCAAACTGGACACTGGTCATGTACACGTTGTTATAATCATATCAGGTGTGTGATCAGCGCTGTCCAAATCTCTCATAACGTCATTACGCCCGCCTTCCTACCACATTGGGTAGATGTTCTCGTCTCATACGCTTCAAATGAGAATTCTCCATCGGAATGATGGCTTTTCGGAAGGTATCGAGACTCTTCCTGGTGTTATTACTGTCCTTTGTAACTGAGTCTCGTGGAGTAGGGTTTCTCTTTTCCTTACAGATGTTTTGTACCTAGAACAAACAATTACTGCACCTTAGAAACAAATATGTAAACAGCTGTTTTAAAGGCATTAATTGAGAAGATCATGAGTACTGAACCACATGTGGCACCCGTCACGATCCCCTGATCGTATACTATCCGGTATTTATTAACAATATCGAATCCTATCTCGCCTAATAATCATAGACCTTTCTAATTGTTTTGAAACTGCAAGCGCCAATTTCATTACGTTGCACTATGCAACAAGGCTCAAATGACCACACCACACACATTTTGTTAGTCCACTATCGAAACGTCTCTGATATAATTGTAGGTTCTTAAGAAAATTCTGGACAACAATACCTATAGGATCTTACATGAAGTTTGATTTAGCATGAGATTATTGAAACTCGTCATTATATTATTTTTCCTTTTAGCTCGTGAGAGGCTCCCTAAAATGGACAAATGTTGGCTTCACTAACGGTCGAGATGCCATTGCTCCATATTGTTATTGTTACTTATTAACAGAAGGAAGCATCGACTTCCATGTACTGTAATACTGTAACTGATTTTGACCTTACCCAGACGTACAGGGCCGCAGCCCCTGGGCTAGCCTCCCTTACTGCACGGAGATCGTATGGTTTTAGGACGTCTTCTGCGTCCTTCACACTCTCCAGACTGACGTCGTCTGGGTCAAAATTTGCAATTTTCTTCTGTAGACTGTCTTTACCGCTCTGGGCCAATAGGACTTGGATATACCCCCATTGCTGTACAAAGAAACATCGAACATGAATTAACATATGTTGTCAACTTTAAGATATACGCTACAATACGGATATGTTTTATGTTCCTTCAAAAATTACATATAAAGTACCGAACTCTTCTGAAATGGAGATAAATTTTACTTCAAACTTGTGTAACAGGAGAGGAAAAAGACCAGATTCGAACTCAGCACCTCCCAACTCTAGACGGACGCTCTAAACAAGTGGGCTACCTGGTCGCTGGCGATCGACCCAGTACAGTTCCGCGACAGTCCTCCCTACTTTTTCTGAGTCTTCGCTCCGAAGACATCACTATTTACAACCCAGGTTCAGATATCCCATTGTCACAGGTACACCCAGTACTCGTAATAACTATTAGTCACAGACACCAATGAGAGGGGAAACCTAGGACATCCGAACTCTAGACGGGCGCACTAACCAATTGAGCTACGTGTAATTGCTGGCGATCGACCAAGTCCAGTTCCGTTCTTGCACAATATGTTGGACCTAATTAGAATATTTTTTATCAAATGATTTATTAATAATGCCTCTTTATGTCTTGTGAACAGTCAAAAATGTTTTTTTAAGAATGCTGTATTAATAGCACTTTAAACACATATAATGTACCTCTAGGTACTCTATCGGCTCCTCGAACATCAGGTAGACGGCTGTGAGTACGTCCTGTATGACAGGTTTGGGGTTCCTGTATCGGCGTATCTCAAAAATGACCTTAGGCACCAGTTTGTCTATAGGATGAAGGTACCCGGCCAGCCTCTGAAGTCGGCAGAGATAGTCCTCTGCCCGCTGTATTTCTGGTTGTAGTTCCGCCTCAAATTTGGAGTTTCTCGCTTGTAGGATACTCTCCTTCAGGACGAACAGGTTACGTCGCTTTAGCGTGTCTAATAATGCTAGTGAAGTAGCAAAAACACATAATACCTGATCAATCAACAAAGCAGGGAAAAGTACCTTGTATAATCTACTACTGTTGTATAAGTATTGATATGAATAAGTAATCTGTCTATATGGTCTGTCTTACAATCGATTCGTTTCTGGAAGCAAATGAGAATATGAAGATTAATGAATATTTAAAGGAACTCCTACTCTTCAGTTTAAATAAGGTAAATCTATAAGTTTTCCAAAATTCTTACTTCGTTATGAAACGATTTTTTGTTTTATGTAACATTTTCTTAATTCGATCACGAGTCGATTCTGGTGAAATATGAATTTATAACGCTAACTTGTGTAAATCACGGGTATGTTAGTTTCTAGTATGAATTAATGAATAGTCCGGTATTGTGTTTCTTCCTCAATTTAAAGTGCAATCCTGGAGCAGCTTCTCTAGGTCAGAGTAAGAGTTCAAAAAGGTGGAATTTGGGCAATCCTTGTCATAAAAGTAGTTATGTTTGTTGATAGACATCTTGAAGTACTAGACCTTCTGGTTTCTAGATTTCTAGAACTGAGAGGTAGTGGAGTTTCTGATTGGTCTTTACCATCTCAGCCAGTAGTGGAGATTTTTGTAATCATCTGTAAGCTTAAAGTAACGGATTTACTACTGGTAATATTTCCTAGTATCAAAGATACAGAGTTTTTGTTACCTTTCCTGAGTTTGAAGTAGTGAAGTTTCTGGTTGGCCCGGTCCACTTCGCCCCTGTCCTCGACATTGTGAAGCAGGAAATCCTCTAGGGCGGCCCCCAGTTCGGCATGTGTTCCTGATTCTGTGTACTGTTCCAGTCGCTCCCTCATCACGCGCTTAGGGTATCTCTACAACACGCATATGAAGTATAGGGAACCTTTTGTTTCTCTTGTGATACCAGGGAGTATGCCATGAAGTACATACTGTTATTACTGTAAGACAAACTGTTCTGGATAGTTTGACGTTATCGTGTGACTATTTCCTTGGTCCACCCGATACAACACCAGACTGTCAGATCAATATCCAGGATTGGTGCGGGTTATGATACGCAAATTGCCACGTAACACTTCTCACCATATACAACATAAAAGCCAATACATAGTCCATGCAAAATAAGCAAAATTACACATGAAGAATGGCTCATATCACCCGACAAGCATGGAATAAATGGTATTCATTGCTTGTCTCATTGCAACATGTGAATATGTTATTGACTATTAACCTAACGCGTTAATTCCTATGAGTGAACTTGATATATATTGCAACCGTGGATTAAACTACACATATAAAGATTTGTGTTTATGTATCTGTATTTTATATCAACTAAAAACACTGAAACTCAGTTCGAGCTTTCACTATAACCCTTAACTCTTATTGTGATTGCAAATGGAGAGAGAGATAGAAATACAAAGTATTGAGAGTACATGAGAAACTCTTTCTACCAACCTCGGTCTCAGTGGACGCCTGTCTGCTACAGAGCACTAGATAGTTACACACATTCTCGTAATCCTCATATGAGCCGTCCTCTTTCTTAGCATATACAAGTAAGGCATATTGTCCTTCCTCGGGAGCAGACACATTTACAGACAGCACGCCGTCCACAACGTCGTGGTTCACGTGATCCTCAAGGTGATCCCTAGTGACAAGGTCGTGATGGAGTTCTACTTTGAATGAATAATCGTCTAAAGTTTGGAACTTTATAGTGGAGACATCTTCCGGTGTCATATAGATATGACCTCCTTTGTGACTAATAGTTTTCATTCCCAGCTTTGAAAGGTAAGGCGTAGGTCCCCAACCCAAGGAGGGCGCGATGGGAAGTGGGTCGAGTTGTCCGGGAAATGGAGCATTCCCAGATATCAGCTTGAACTGACACATCACAGGCATGTCCGCAAAATCGTCCACATTGTCTAGGAGGTCCCCGCGAACATCAAACTGGTAGATACCGGGAACTGGAAGGACGATGTCAAAAAATACATGGTTGTTTTTGGTGGTTTGATACACGTAACGGTCCAATAGGGGAGGGAACTCTGTCGTAAACGATGGACCGACTTCTTCTTCTAACTCTTCGTCACGGTTATAAATGTCTCGGCCGCTATTACTTTTGACCCCCGCGAACCCATCCACACACGACTCAACCTCTGTCACCTTCAGTCCCTTTAAAACGAAGCTCACTGCAAGGTTTTGCCCTATTGTTCGTGGGGATGATATCTCTATGAATATTTTGCCAGATTTACTGCGGATTCGGCCCGTTTTAGGGTTCACAATCCTGATACCATTACTGAGCATTTCCGGCGAACAAAATGGTTGGTTTAGAAATTCGGCGGCGGTTAACGGTTTCGGGAGCAACTGCCATTCGGGAATATCCGGTAAACACGTAAAGATAAACTCGTCTGGTTCCGTTAGGAAGAAGTGGTTCTTCACCTTTAAAAAGGTTTAGAATATATCAGCTTCAGTCGCAAAATCAATCTTTAATGAGTTTTACAAATGAAGCATTTCTTCCAGTGTGTTTTGAATAACAAGTGAAACATTGTTTCTGTTTCTTATTTCTTATCATTGATAGGCTTGCATGTATAATGTAATTTTAATGAAATTCCATTTAATTTAAAACCACTTTCTACGAAGCAATGTTTTAACATAACGATGCCTAGGATGAAAATTACTGATACACAAAACATCACTAGATAGCAGGTAAGCGAATTATTTATAATTAGTATTGTCAGACACTGTGTAATGGGGTTTGTTGCTGACCTTGACACTGGGATCCCGTGCCCTTGTGACGTGAATAAACCTCCAGTAGCCCTGTAGAAACACCGCTGCCCATTTGTCTTTCACATCATCGACATTGGTCGCGTCTATCTGACCGGCTGATTCCATCCTGGTCACTCCATGTAGCATCACACATGGTATACCGCAGTGCCTGCCAAAGACAACGTCGACATCCTAAACTATTTCTGTCTGGTTGCAAAAATTAGCAATTGACACACAATATTTTCTCTATGAACGCATATAGAAAAGCACGACCATGCTCAGGCTTTTTCAATCAATTCTACTGTGTATATTGCTATTTACTTTTCAGCAAGGGAAGGCTATATATTCATGTAGCTACCATACCGACAAAGAAGGGTGAAGAATGATGTCATGTCGCCTTTGCCGCCGTTGACCAATCTGAGGTAGCCCATTGGCGTGCTGGTGGATCCTTGATTGGTGACCAGTTCTGACGTCATACTACCAAGCCAGATGTAAATAGACCAAACTTTTTCTACGTCATCCAGTGCCGCGCGGGTGAGCTGGTTCAGGAACTCGTCATAGCTCTCTGCCATCGTGTCAATAGGTACCTACACATGGTAAAAAAAGACAAATATACGTCACATAAACATTGTTTGATTTTGTTTGGTTTAGTATTGTTTAACGTCCTATCAACAAATATGGTCATTTAAAAACGGCCTCTCCTGTGTGCAAGATACATGTATGTAGTGTATGCATGTGTGTTTTGGGACTGACAACGGGCAAACCAGTCGTCCCACTCTTAAATTGCTGAGCGTTAAGCAGGAATAGAAACTACCATTTTTACAGACTCTGGTATGTCTCGGCCAGGAGACAGAATCCAAAGCCTTCCTCACAGGGGCAAACGCCCAACTAAGGCCAAAAGTGAGGCATTGTCAATGGAGACACTAGGAAGAAGAAAGTTGTTTAGAAAGAAGAGAAAAGATAATATCCCAAATTTAGTCGCCTGTTACGATCATGCAATAGGGGCAACAGGTACAATTATTAAGCCCTACCTGCAGGGACCCATACACATTGTCCACTGGCCTTGTATTTTAGCGCTTACTATATTACATATAGTATACTTTTATGTTTTCTCTCTCCTTCCTTACAACCTGTCTGTTTGTTAAAGCCTTGCTTGGCAACACATCACGTTTGGCTTCAGTGTTGAACTTCCGTCCATGTGGGGTAGGCAGTGTGTTCTGATCCCAGGCCAAAGTCCGTAAAATGGTAGTTGATATTCCCTGCTTAACGTTTAGCATTACAGTTAGTGACAACAACTGGTTTACCCGTTGTCAGTATAATGTGACCGGGCGGGATACTGTGCTGGGTGCCTTTGGCGTGGTATTTCAGTGAGGTAACACTCTAAAGTCGGCATCAGATCCTCACTATAGCAAGGGAGCTTATTCACCAACATACTGCCTCCAGAACACATACACACATGCACATATTAATTACACACATGGAGGCAAGTCCTGAAATATCATTGGCTGATGATAGGACGTTTAACCGCATAAAACTAAACCAAATCAAATATATATATACATTTGCAATAAAGCTAGAATAGCGATACATAATTTATTTTAAAATGGTGATACTTGCCATTAATGCAGTCCGGGAGACTCTCTTGAGGCGTTCTGGTTTGACAATATCCCTCCTGTGGGATTCAGGGACCTTTGGAAGAGGGTACTCACTTAGGATGGACGGGACTTGTTTCTGCAAGCACAGGCAATGGGGGGACAACAAATATATGAAATACATTGTAAAGTATAACTAAAAGCAATTTACAGACACGATTTGACACATTCTCTATTACAAGTTATCTTTGCATATAAAATTCAAATACAACGGGGTGATTTAATATGCCTATAATAATATGTTTGTTGTTTATGTAATTACCATCTCCGATAAGCCTTTAATATTCTGAATATTTTATTTTATTTTTTTTTCTGCTTACGTAGTCCGGCGTGGCTGGCCTGGCCTTGGCCTTGACCTTGGACTTCCCGGACCCCATCTTGTCCTGACGTCCTTGCTTGGTTACTGGAAGATATTAGAATTGGTGCAATGACAACGTAGTTGCTGGTAAGCATTAGACATTAGCTCTTTATTTTGTATAACCATGTCAGTCTTACTTAAAGGAAACTCTTTGCTCCTTCCGGGATTGAAAATTAGACATAGAATCATTGTTACGTAATACTATGTGCAAAGGTACAGCATTGTATCTGTCGAGAAAATATACGACTTTTTTTAAAGTAACGATAGCCTGAACAACTGATAAAGAAGAAAAATGACTTTTTATCACATCAATCTAAACGATAATTCACACCAACTCGACAGCGCTGCGGTGTTTAGATTTGACTATCAATTCACATTTGGCAAAATGCTCCTAATTAATATAACATCCAAGACCAGCAGTATCATAAGCTTGAAAGATGTAGTTTACGTACAGTTTAACTTAGAATTTGAAGAAAATGATGATAAAAACTTACCGTTTTCATTATTTGCCGTTTATGTTACTGGGAGTTTTCGTCACCAACGCCCAGATCTGCTGTTGTACCCATATGCATTGCTAAATTAGACCTCACCTGTACTCACGCCCGTATAGGTAACAACAGTCTATGTGTTTACCTGGCTCCGTACCTGTCACACGGCACTTTAAATTAAACGCTGCGGATTTACCTCATAGCCACACAGAATGTCCTCTTTGTTCGCATGAATTATGAAAATTAAATTAACGTTGTCTTTTATTATACGGGTAGCCAGAAATTAGTGAGTGAGTTTAGCACAGTGATAAGGGTTGTCAGGGGCCCCGGATGCCTGTGTGTAACGCTATAGATAGGGACAGGTTGTATGGACGAGGGTACGTAAATGAAAATCAACTCTCAATGTTATCATTACACAAATACTCGATAATAACAGCCCGTCTACTAGTGCGCATGTCAAAGAGAGCTGCAAAAGTGTTTCAGTTTAATCTGGCTGTTTTGTAAAATGAACATGGTACGCTGTAGTCATACTATGAGATTGACTGCGTTAAGAAAGGTACGTAAGTGTACCACCTCAGAAACGTGTATACATATATAGGCTGTTTTGATGTAGATAAGCGTGTTTTATTTCTAAATAGAAAAGAATATTATCTCACTGTTTACCTATACTATACCAAGAAAGAATCCCAGTACGTCCTGTTATCAAATATACGTCTTGATACATAATAAAGTTCGAACTTTATTCGGAACAACTTTGTTTTGTCTTCTAACCTTTTTCAGTTATCTATGTATGGTCATATGAGGATTCATGCATGTATGAACAGAAATCAGTTACATACATATTCCATGACAGAATGTGGCTCGAGATAATCAACTGATTCTGACCTCGAATGTTGGGTTACGACAGACTCCCCTCCTTTTTAGATCCGCAAATGCGACTGGAGATGATTGAACCACGGCACGTATGTTTACCCTACTCCGCAACAACACACCTTCCGGAATGTTGTATCATTGTTATCGTCGTGAGATCTAACGTTCAGTTATATATACATATATCAATCTAAAATTAATTTATGAATACATTTAGAGACTGCAGATTCGATATATTCCAACACATAACTTGTTTTACACAATCAAAAGTTTAAATACTTTATACTTTATGGCTTAAATGAAGCTTAGTTAACTCAAGTTATATGAGAATGTCATGGGTTCTATTGATTTAATAGTGTATGGATCAATTTTACAACAAAAGAAACATTTATGTGAAATTACACGTCACTTAAAAACTCATTGACATTTTCCGAAATGCCAGTAATGCTTTCAAAATGTTCAATGGGTATATACGTTGTGTCCATATTATAGGCCTACCAGCATGATGGATGGAGTTATCTTATCTTTGTTGTCCACAGACCTTTTAACATGGGTTACCTCCCGTGTGCCCCCTCAATATTTCTTCTTTTATTGTAAGGATACAGCTGTCAAGTAAAAATAAATTTCACAATTAATGATATTAATAAAAGGGTTGACATGAAACCACAAAATTAACCAGAAGTTTTTTTTGTTTTCCTAAAAAAATCCGGACGGTATTAAGTAAGGTTCTATCTATTATAAATTAACAAGAAACTTCGGAAACCCTCTAAAAATGGCGGGAGATGGCTGATAAATCAGCTTGTTTTGGTGAGATTATAATCGTGTCTTTATGTCATAGACTTTCTGACTTATTTATTAAATGGGTGCATGATTTTTTAGACGCAAAGCTTTATTGATACCTATAATTATTTAATCTATTACCTTGCAACTCTGTTTGTCACAGTTTCAGCTTGACAGCGACATTGATTGTCAGTGAGCTGCTTTGCAAGCTTTAGTTTGAATACTGTATATGCTGTGTTTAATTTATGTATTCGAGACTAGCAACTTATGCTCAGGAAAATGCTTGCATATAATGTAACTGCCAATATAAGAATCTAGCCACAATAAGTTCATTTGTGTGTTGGGGGGGGGGGGGGGGGGGGGAA